GTTGTTGTTGTTTGTGCATCAGACAGGTGCTTGCATCTCTTTATTACTGCATTATCCTTCAGTTCCAGTTAATAGGAGCTGTTCTCCTTATCAACAAAACGTTCTTATTTTTTAAAAATTCGTCTAAAATCAATTTCTGAAAATATTTTGCTGAAAGTTTCACGACACTGAAGCCAATAAGTTGAAGATTTGTTTAACATTTTTAAGATATTTTTACATAAGTCAAATAGTTTTCACTTCCGGACCCCCAATATGCGCAGTTTAAGGGTTAAGGAGTAGTCAACGCAGAATGCCAACAAGTGGCTGTGACAATGCTGAATGAGGCAAGCTGGCATTATTCTCCATGAAATGCTGAATGACAAAAGTTAGAGGCAAGACACCGAGAAAGACCTGCCACCTGTGCATCATAAAAATGACAAAAGATCACATTTAAAAAAATAAAAACCCGACTCAAAGATCGGAGAAATCTCAAACCATACAAGAACATCTCCAGATTGATCCATTGAAAAAAAGCAGAGGCACAGAAAAACTGTGCAAGTTTGGAAACCAACTCTGAGCCGACCACCAAGGAGCCACAAGAATTACCAGTCCCGGGAACGTCTCCAGTCTTGAAAAGAACCTGGAGCAACTGCCAAACTGGAGGAAAGAAATGGAAAACCCCCATTGATTCCAATCCAGACAAAAAGTCATAGTTGTGCCTACTCTTAGGCATTATATATACAACAATGTGAGATACTACTGACATCAGAGAACACTGTATAAACATCAGAGGTCCGCGGTTGTTCAACGTCCTCCCAGCGAGCATCAGAAATATTGCCGGAACAACCACGGACATCTTCAAGAGAAAACTAGATTGTTTTCTTCAAGGAGTGCCGGACCAACCGGGCTGTGGTGGGTATGTTGGCCTGCGGGCCGCTCCAAGCAACAGCCTGGTGGACCAAACTCTCACAAGTCAAGCCTGGCCTCGGGCCAGGCTTGGGGAGTAGAAGAACTCCCAGAACCCCATCAAACAGGTATACCAGGAGCAAGAAAAATCATGTTAGCACATAGCAGTAGCTCAACAGTATGCAAACCATTTCTGGCATTGGGGAACTGCAGTAATGAGCAAATGAAGAGTCACAATAACGTGGCTGAAAAATAATGAGTGAAAACCCCCATTGCTACAGTAATGAGTGAAAACCCCCATTTCTACAGTAATGAGTGAAAACCCCATTGCTACAGTAATGAGTGAAAACCCCCATTGCTACAGTAATGAGTGAAAACCCCCATTGCTACAGTAATGAGTGAAAAAGTCAGGGTAAAATGTGGTGCATAAATGTCAATAGTGTTAGTGGCTTTGCAAGGGTGTAAAATTTAATTACAAAAATTTATACTGATAACCTATTGTATTATCTTAAGTATACATATGAAAATTAAATAAAATATGACTTGGGTATACAGTAATGATTAATTGGATGTAGAGAATAAGTCACAATAATGTGAAACAAATAAGCCAATGCACAAATACAAAATTAAATGAAAATGATGATGTTTCAGTATGTCCTTGGTTAACTTGGTTAAGAGCATAGGCTGTTGAGGTGAATTTTGAGGGTCAACAGAGAGGACAAACCATAAAAAGATGTAAGATATTGCAAGTTCACGCATGTAAGGGCACGGTGATCAAGTCTGTGGTGCACTCAAGATGTGGTACAGAATATGGCTTAGATAAATCAGTTTATATAAAAAAAAAAAGCCCCAGCGTCTGTCACTTGATTTATATACATACTGTATTTTTAAATGATACCACATAGGAAGCATCTTTCACTGGGTGTACCACTTTGCCATTCCCTTACACTGATTCCGATGATGACTGTCCCTGTGGCCTGGTCTCTGATCAGGCCTCTTGGTTGGAGGTCTGGTCAATCAGACTGCTGGATATGGCTGCTCGCAGTCTGACGTATGAATCACAGCCTGGTTGATCAGGTATCCTTTGGGGGGTTATCAAATTCTCTTTTGAACACTGAGAAGTCAGCCAGTTATGCCCCCTTGTATGTAGAGGGAGTGTTGAAAAGTCTTCGTCCTTCGATGTTGATAGAATTATCTTTCAGCGTAACTATTGCACCTCTACTTTACCATGAAACTATTTTGCACTTTCTGTCATGCCTTCTGGTCTCATGTGGTGGTATTTCCATGCAGATTTGCAACCAGTCACTTTCAAAAATACAGACAACACTTTCATGAACCAACTTTTAAAAACAGCCTCTGATTGAATTGAATTTTGATCAAGATAATCCCAGATACGGATACAGATACAGCCCATACAGGTATGTACAGACCTCAGTATGTAGCCTAACCACTAAAGTATTATGCTTAGTAAACTACGGTACTATTGCTGTTGGGTTGGGGCAGCTACAGCATTGGGCCATATGAACTCAATTAATCTAGGCACACATTACAGACATCTTTATGTAGCCTTCAGGAAGTGGAACATCAGAACTAGGGCATCAAAATGGAGAACCATGTTGACTCATATCAATTGCACAGCAAATCCCGGTATTTTTTTTTTCATAATTCCAGGGTCAGCAAAAGGAAGCCAAAGCTCCTGCTATAATTTCCTATCAATGTAGACTAGTTAGCATTCCAAAACCTAGAATAGGCCTAGTTATAATGCTATCCTCTTAAGAATAGGCCTGGTGTCATCATGGGCTTCAAAAACACTCCACACACTGTGACCAAAGAGCTTCAGCTCAACCCCCTCAAGCACAACTAGGTGAGTACAGCACATGGAATTAAAATTAGGTGCCTCGTATGAGCCAATAGCCCTTCTGCGGTGTCATTTCTTCTCAAGTACAGTACTGTACTTAAGTCCTCTTCCCGTGTCATCTAAGAATTAGGGCAAGACACACACCTTACATAAAACCCAGACATTGAGTGAACCTAACAGTACGATTGTGTACCTGGAGAATACCTGGTTAGGTTTTCAGGAGTTTTGCTTCCCAGAGCCAGACGTGGAGCCAGAGTCGACTTGTGACAACTTGGTCCAACAGGCTGTTGCTTGGGGCAGCCCGCAGGCCACTCCTGCCACTGATTGTCCCGTCATTGATAACGTTCCCACCACCATCACCCACATGCCCCCACTTGCTCAACCACAAAGACGATCTAAATTTCACATAAGCAATAAAAGTAAAAAAAAAAAAAAGTGCTGCCTTCAACATCCTGTGTGACAGATGTGACATTTTACCTATAATTATATACTGTACTGTACATATTATTTACATATGAAAAAAAAAAGAGTATGAGCTAACATACACATAATTATAATGAAATATAATAATTATATTATAATGGTCATTATAATGGTGGCCTAAGGTCACTATTATAATGGTCATTATAATGGTGGCCTAAGGTCACTTTACGACCAAACCTGCCATTCCCCATTAATGACCTACTGCACACGTTCATTTAAAATCCCTCCCCCACTGTCATGGTACACAAGTCATTTTATTTATCCTTACATTACCTCTTTTCTTTATGTTGAGTATGATGCTGCATTTTAAGGCAAAGGTAACGCTGCATTTTAAGGCAAAGGTAACGCTGCATTTTAAGGCAAAGGTAACGCTGCATTTTAAGGCAAAGGTAACGCTGCATTTTAAGGCAAAGGTAACCCTGCATTTTAAGGCAAAGGTAACCCTGCATTTTAAGGCAAAGGTAACCCTGCATTTTAAGGCAAAGGTAACGCTGCATTTTAAGGCAAAGGTAACGCTGCATTTTAAGGCAAAGGTAACGCTGCATTTTAAGGCATAGGTAACCCTGCATTTTAAGGCAAAGGTAACCCTGCATTTTAAGGCAAAGGTAACCCTGCATTTTAAGGCAAAGGTAATGCTGCATTTTAAGGCAAAGGTAACCCTGCATTTTAAGGCAAAGGTAACACTACATTTTAATAAGGTAACACTGCATTTTAAGGCAAAGGTAACGCTGCATTTTAAGGCGACATAATGCTGCATTATAAGGCGAAGGTGATGGTACATTATAAGGCAAAGGTAATGGTGCACTCTAAGGCAAACATAACACTGGGTCCACTAGACATTATCAGATAACATACCAAGAGACATGTTATCTGATAATGAACACTTTCCCCCGAACAGCGACGTTTACAACTCGTGCTCGTCTAGCCACAAGAAATACGATACAAAATACATTAGAAAAGCAATACAAATACAGACCAAAGCAATACTGTATATAAAAATAAATGGCATTTCATAAAATAGTTTTATCAAGTTGACATAGTCTATTACACTAAGAATAATGACAGCCATCAGAAAGAGAGCTATAGTATTGTTTCAGGAACATTGTGCGATGCTGTAATATACAATACGACCTCTTGCTACTGTCTACCTAGGCTTATACTGCACAATATAAAATACCAGTGGCAGTGAACAGACTTTTCCATGTAGGCCTACACCTGCTTGTAGGAGGAGTCATTGACTTTGTGCACAATTGTTCAACTGATTTTAAATATCAATATATATATATATATATATATATATAGTTAGTTTTCAATCAGAAAACGGGCCTTGTCGAAATACGTGTGAATGCTTTGACTGTACTCCACTGTATGCAGGCCTCTATATGTTAAGTATTTGCTTCTCCATACAGACCAACACTGCATACAGTATGATTTTGTTAGCAATGATTATTTGAAATGAAAAATTATCAACATTTTATGGATTACCAGAAGGCTGTACAGTATACATACATAAAATTAAAATTTACTTTTTTGAGTACAGTACTAGTATATTTAATGCTAAGTAAAATGTAGAGTGTTCATTTAATACTAAAATCAGATATAATTTAACCCAATTAAATTATCATAACCATGTTGCCTGGGGTATTGTCAAACTGTACACAAGATCGTTCAACACGGCTTCATGTGAACGAAGCAATGGGCATTATGACTAGGTGGTTCCTCTATTCCTGCCAACTACACACAGCTTAGTTCTTAAAACATCAAGGTGACTTACCATTGATTTTGCTGTAACATTATACGGCAGAAGATTCTTGCCGCTGACAGGCTTGGCCGTCGTGGACGTTGAAGACGGGGTCGGCGGCGTGTGCGCGTGGCCTGTGGTGATGCCCGGAGACACGGTCGACATGTTGCAGGATGGCGATTGGGGCGTGTGCGCACCACTGCCCAATTTGTGTTGCCACTGTGCTAAACGATCACTCGGAGTGTTCAGCGCATTGTTGGTATTGTTGTTTTGACTCATATTGCTGTTGTTTTGTTTGTAAGCTACACTACGCACCGCCGTTGAAGGGTACGGTGGAGGAGGCGGCGGAACTTGAGCTATTTGTCCGGTGATTAGACCTATGGTGGTGGGAACGTATGACTGTACAGAGGTGATGCTTCTCACTACTGATGACGGGTATGGAGGTGGCGGAGGTGGGACAATATATTGCTGTTGGGCTGCCCTTACCACAGAGGACGGATACGGTGGTGGTGGCGGAGGTGGGGCTCCTCCACTCCTTAATAAGCTCTGAGGAGTCGACGGAGTTGATGGGGTCGAAGGAGTCGAAGAAATTGGAGAGTGTGCTCCTACAGAACACTGCGTACTGGACAAGCCCAGGTTTTGGAACTGGCGTACAAGAGACGATGGGTAAGGTGGCGGCGGTGGTGGATCGGCTCCAGAAACACTCTTTAGCACCTCAATGTTAGCATAATTATGAGTTGAAGTCACTATAGGAAACACGACAGACGTAGCACGCGAACTTCCAACGGACGCAGAAGATTCGCTCGCTTCTGTCGAAGATGCTGAATTTAAGCTAGGTGGTTTTCCAGGGTAAGGTGGAGGAGGTGGAAGGGCGGTAGGGCTCGGAGTCGCAACGGGTGTGTGCGTTGGTCGAGAGAGACCTACAGAGTGAGGTGGAACGGGGGGAGGCGGAAGAGCGTCATAATAAATTCCACGATGTCTAACACAGTCACTACTCACACTCCACTGAGAATTATGCCTAGCGTTTTCTTGAACATACGCATTGTTTCTTGGAATAACAAATTCTTTGCCTTCCAAGTCCTGTTCTATACGAGGGGGCAAATGCCTATTAACTATCGTAGGCCTATGCAAACTACCCTCTTCCAATATAGTCTGACTGGCTAAACTTGTTCTATCTAGACTAGAACCTTGTAAGGAATGTACTAAGCTGCACCTTGGGCTGGAATGCTTCGAGTCCTGGGAACTTACACTGGAACGTGGACTGGCATACTTATTTTCAATAATGGTAGCCGCCAAACCACCCTGCGGTCCGTAATGGTGATAACTATTTATATTTTCATACGTATGAAGTTGTCCTACAAAACTAGGTTTCACAACAAATTCACTGGAATGGTGCGTCGTTGGCTGTGGAATGGTTCGAGAGTTGTGGCCGGAATTCAGAGAATCGTGACTGCCGCCGCTCAAGCTCGAGCGAGGACTCGAGTGAGCGGAGTTACTGGGGTTGTTGCGGCCGTAAATAGGCGGAGGTTCGTACCGCACATGTCCGGAGTACAGAGACTGTCCGTTGAGAGGCTTGGCCAGCGAGGTGCCACCATTGGGGAGGTGGGCGGTACTGGTGACAGGAAGGTGGTGGGTGGTACTAGTGACAGAAAGGTGGTGGGCGGCACTGGTGACAGGGAGGTGATGGGCGGCACTAGTGACAGGGAGGTGGTGGGTGGCACTGGTGACAGGGAGGTGATGGGCGGCACTAGTGACAGGAAGGTGGTGGGTGGCACTGGTGACAGGAAGAAGGTGGGTGGCACTGGTGACGGGGAGGTGGTGGGCGGCACTAGTGACAGGGTGGTGATGGGTGGCACTAGTGAGAGGCAGGTGATGGGCGGCACTAGTGACAGGAAGAAGGTGGGTGGCACTAGTGACAGGGGTGATATGGGCGTAGCCAACAGTGGCAGCAGTGAGGGAGCCAGTGACCAGACAGGAGGGGGGTGTCACGCCACCATTGGGGGCCCCACACACCACCACACTCTCCGGCAGCTTCGGGGTGGCGAACTTGGCGGCAGCAATCACCCGGCGGGAGTCCAGCACCTCATGCACCTGTGCACCCTGGCAGCCGACACCTTCCTGCTTGATCAGACTCTCTATGGCGCCGATCCTGGGGAGGTTGTGGGCCGCAGGTGATGCGTCTGCGCCCGCGCCTGCGCCGCTGGCCGCACGCGGCAGTATGCGGCCGTAGCCATGGTGGGAGGAGGCCAACACGGGCTCACTCTCCCCTCCCATGCCACCATTGGAGTGGACACCCTCAGACTTGCACAGACTCAGCGTGTGCAGCAAACGGTTGGTCTCTGTGGCCGGGTCGCTGCCATAGCGGGCCATGGCTGTCTCGCGCGCGCACTCCTACATCGTCATGGCACGTGGACGCCACATACGAGGCCTGGAGACATTTTCTAGTCATGTAAGACTGGTGAATCACTCTCCACAAGTGTCATGGCGGACCAATACCTCACTTCCAACACTAAACAATGAAACTAACAATTTCCATACTGGTGCTTGGCCTGACTGCCACGTACACAAATGGTTTATGGTATATCACCAAGATCAATCCCCCTCTTTTTGCTTAATATTAAGGGATTTTGAGTGTAATTGGAGCGAAAATTTCTCGTACTACTTTGTATTAAAAATTCCTATGCCAGAGGGCAGCAGAGTCGCATTGTTTTCCTATTGTCGTAGAAAATGGGAAATAAAATGTAAACTTAATGGGAGACTTTTGTATTTAAACATACCTGAGTTTACCTGACTATCACTAGGCAGTGTGATATTGTAATTGCCAAAATTAGCCTGGGATATCGATACCTATGGTAGGTGGCTGCAGGCAATGACTTCCCCCAATGGTGACTATTTCAATTGTAATAGGTGCCCTATGTAATAGGTGCCAATATCCCGAAAACGCTGTGCGTACTAGTGACTTGAAATTGAAATAAGTTTATTGATGTAAAATACACACAAAGGGATGGAGTAGCTGTGTGTATTTTACATCAATAAACTTATTTCAATTTCAATTTCAATCATAAATGGGTTCGAGATCGACCACAAGTACAGTTTCTAAATTCAGCAACTGACATGTGGAGAGCTAGTGTCACAATTGATAGGTTTGTCCTGCACACCGCCCCCCATCCAGTGGGCAGCGGGGGATAGGTTACACCGCCCCCCATCCAGTGGGCAGCGGTGGATAGGTTACACCGCCCCCATCCAGTGGGCAGCGGTGGATAGGTTACACCGCCCCCCATCCAGTGGGCAGCGGTGGATTGGTTACACCGCGCCCCCCCCCCCCCCCCCATCCAGTGGGCAGCGGTGGATAGGTTACACCGCCCCCATCCAGTGGGCAGCGGTGGATAGGTTACACCGCCCCCCATCCAGTGGGCAGCGGTGGATAGGTTACACCGCCCCCCATCCAGTGGGCAGCGGTGGATAGGTTACACCGCCCCCCATCCAGTGGGCAGTGGTGGATAGGTTACACCGCCCCCCATCCAGTAGACAGTGGTGGATAGGTTTACACCGCCCCCCATCCAGTGGACAGCGGTGGATAGGTTACACCGCCCCCCATCCAGTGGACAGCGGTGGATAGGTTACAGTCACTAAGTTACTACCTACAGTTAGCAAACTGGGGATATTTGGCTAAAATTTCTGGTAGTAGATAATTTTGGATGAAATATTTACACATCGTTGGAACCTTTGTTATAGAATTGTCACTGAATTCACGTATCTTTTCGCACTCCATCACATAGATTCAACTGTATAAATCACTGGTGCGCTCAGTACATGGATTACTGTATCGAAGCATGGAGACCTCGTCTTTAGGACACAGCTGATCTGGAGAAGGTGCAACACCGGGCAACAAAAAACATTCCAGAGCTAAGTCAGCTCTCGTACCAGGAACAATTGAGGGCCACAGAGTTAACAATAACACTACAAACCAAACATGACAGAGCGGATCTCATCGAAACTTTTAAAATACTGAACAGTTTGGAGATGTTAATCTGGATAATGTAATAATAACTAAACTATGCAGAACTAAGGTATTTGCATACAGGCTATAGGGCGCAATATTTATAATAATAATAATATTTTATTTACAAGAAGGTACAATGGGTTGGTGAGATAACATTAGTGATATTTTTACATTGTTGTAAAGCCACTAACACGCATAACGTTTCGGACAGGTCCTTAGATAATATATCAGCTAAGATAAATGGGTACATTGTAGCAAGGTTTTATATCAACAATATAAATTGTCAGAGGTGATTACATAGGTAAAGCTTAAATACTTAATTAGTCTTAATTACTAATATTGGGGAAGTTGGCAGTACAAGATACAGTGTGAGTTTGTAGCACAAGGCAGGAAACTATGAGCAGGAAATTAGGTACTTTTTGGTGTGACTTTTGAACAGGGAAGAGTTGGACAATTTGTTAATTCATCAGGGAGTGAGTTCCATAGTCTGGACCCTTTTATTTGTTGGTGTGTTGGTACAGATTTACTCTGACTCTGGGGATATTTGTTGGTGTGTTGGTACAGATTTACTCTGACTCTGGGGATATTTGTTGGTGTGTTGGTACAGATTTACTCAGACTCTGGGGATATTTGTTGGTGTGTTGGTACAGATTTACTCTGACTCTGGGGATATTTGTTGGTGTGTTGGTACAGATTTACTCAGACTCTGGGGATATTTGTGGGAGTGTTGGTACAGATTTACTCAGACTCTGGGGATATTTGTTGGTGTGTTGGTACAGATTTACTCTGACTCTGGGGATATTTGTTGGTGTGTTGGTACAGATGTAGTCTGACTCTGGGGATATTTGTTGGTGTGTTGGTACAGATTTACTCAGACTCTGGGGATATTTGTTGGTGTGTTGGTACAGATTTACTCTGACTCTGGGGATATTTGTTGGTGTGTTGGTACAGATATAGTCTGACTCTGGAGATATTAAAGATATATATATTTCTGGTGTGGTGCTGATGGGTTCTATTACATCTATCAAGGAAAAGTTTCAGCTCAAGATTATCATTTAGGAACAAGGTTGTGTACATGTAGATAGCACATGAGAATGTGTGGAGTGAGTGTGTGTTTAGCATGTTAAGGGACTTAAGCACAGGGGCTGTGTGTTGTCTCAAGACAGAGTTTGTTATGGTTCTGATAGTAGACTTTTGCTGAGTGATGATAGACTTGAGGTAATGTGCAGTGTTGAACCCCATGCACAGATACCGTATGTAAGATAGCGATAGATTAGTGCCTAGTATAATAAGGAGAGCATCGTGGTTTAGTTTACTTCATTTATTATGCACCCCATACCCATCTTGAGGGCTGTAGTGGATAGGTGGATAGGTTACACCGCCCCCCCCTCCCCATCCAGTGGGCAGCGGTGGATAGGTTACAATCACTTAGTTACTACCTACAGTTACCAAACTGGCGATGTTTGGCTAAGATTTCTGGTAGCAGATAATTTTAAATGAAATATTGACACATCGCTGGAACATTGGTTATAGAATTGTCTCTGAATTCACGTATCTTTTCGCACTCCATCACATAGTGACGGAGGGTGTGCGAATAATTTTGTTGGCACAGTTTACATTTGGTCAGGTCTACATCGCAGATAATGAGAATTCCCAGAGATACTTGTAGCCGAGTCTAAGCCGAGCAGTAGTAACATCTAGAAGTCTGCTGATTTTATTGGATGATCCATAGATGTGTGGCTCCTCTTGCATGATAGTATGATGATAGATGGAATTACTGGTGTCAATTTCACTTCGCCTCAGATCTACAAGATCTTGTTGAAGTTCTCGGTGTACTGCTGCTCTCAGATTGCTCATTGACAATCCAAGGTTATACTTAATTTCTCCTTTAAGACAGATTCTTTGGCTAACTCATCACTGGTTTAATAGAATTTTATGACCAAGCAAAAAAAAAATTAAGCAAGAAAGAGAAGGGGTGGCAGACTGCATTTTCTTGGACTGTCAGAAAGCCTTTGACACAGTACCCCATACAAGGCTGTTACAAAAGTTGGAGCAACAGGCAGGAGTAAAAGGTAATGTGCTCCAGTGGATAAGGGAGTATCTAAGCAACAGGAAACAGCAAGTAACTGTGAGGGGGAGACATCAGAGTGGAGAGATGTCACCAGCGGAGTCCCACAGGGCTCTGTACTTGGACCCATCCTGTTTCTAATACATGTAAACAATCTTCCAGAGAGTATAGACTCATGCCTCTCAATTTGCTGATGATGCAAAAGTTATGAGAAGAATAAAGACAGAGACTACAGGACGACCTAAACAAACTGGAGGAATGGTCTAGAAAATGACTACTAAAATTTAACTCAGGAAAATGTAAAGTAATGAAATTAGACGAAGGGAGCAGAAGGCTGAACACAAGGTACCATCTGGGAGGTGAAATCCTGCAAGAGTCAAATACAGAGGAAGATCTGGGGGTTCATATCATATCATATCGAACCTGTCCCCAGAAGCCCACATCAAAAGGATATCATCAGCGGCATATGCTAGATTGGCCAACATAAGAACTGACTTTAGAAACTTGTATAAGGAATCGTTCAGGACCTTGTATACCACTTATGTCAGACCAATCCTAGAATATGCATCTCCAGCCTGGTGTCCATACCTAGTTAAACACAAGACAAAGCTAGAGAAGATTCAGCGGTATGCCACCCGACTAGTAATTACCTAAGTGTAGGTAATTACTAGTCTGGTGGCATACCACTGAATCTTCTCTAACTTTGTCTTGTGTTTAAATAGGTATGGACACCAGGCTGGAGCTGCATATTCCAGAATTGGTCTTATATCATACCGATATCAGTCCCGGAACTGAGAGGCATGAGCTACGAGGAAAGGCTAAGGGAGCTGAACCTCACGTCCCTGGAAAACAGAAGAGTAAGGGGAGACATGATAACCACCTACAAAATACTCAAGGGAATTGGCAGGGTGGACAAAGACAAACTCTTTAGCACGGGTGGGACATAAACAAGGGGACACAGGTGGAAACTGAGTACCCAAAATGAGAGATATTAGTGTTATGACTGTATTAAGTGTATTTATTGGATGCCAGTCTGTCTATGGCACTGTTACTTGGATCATACAAGCAACACTGTTACTTGGATCATACAAGCAACACTGTTACTTGGATCATACAAGCAACACTGTTACTTGGATCATACAAGCAACACTGTTACTTGGATCATACAAGCAACACTGTTACTTGGATCATACAAGCAACACTGTTACTTGGACCATACAAGCAACACTGTTACTTGGATCATACAAGCAACACTGTTACTTGGATCATACAAGCAACACTGTTACTTGGATCATACAAGCAACACTGTTACTTGGATCATACAAGCAACACTGTTACTTGGATCATACAAGCAACACTGTTACTTGGATCATACAAGCAACACTGTTACTTGGATCATACAAGCAACACTGTTACTTGGATCATACAAGCAACACTGTTACTTGGATCATACAAGCAACACTGTTACTTGGATCATACAAGCAACACTGTTACTTGGATCATACAAGCAACACTGTTACTTGGATCATACAAGCAACACTGTTACTTGGATCATACAAGCAACACTGTTACTTGGATCATACAAGCAACACTGTTACTTGGATCATACAAGCAACACTGTTACTTGGATCATACAAGCAACACTGTTACTTGGATCATACAAGCAACACTGTTACTTGGATCATACAAGCAACACTGTTACTTGGATCATACAAGCAACACTGTTACTTGGATCATACAAGCAACACTGTTACTTGGATCATACAAGCAACACTGTTACTTGGATCATACAAGCAACACTGTTACTTGGATCATACAAGCAACACTGTTACTTGGATCATACAAGCAACACTGGGATCATACAAGCAACACTGCTACTTGAGTAATAAAGCTCAACAAGCCACAATGTGGCACAGAAAACAGAGATGCTTTTCTAACCAAAGTGTTATAAACCAATGGAACCGCTTACCCGCCAAAGTCATAAATGCAAAATCTCTTCTACAATTATAATATTAATTACTGAGTTTGTACTGTTGCAAAATAAAAACTCTCGCTTTTTTTAGAATATCTGGAAAGGTTTGGAGTTCAAGTGACTTGTTGAAGAGCAAAGCAATAGCAGGGGCTAAAGATCTGGAGGCTTTTTTGTATATTAAAGTTGGTATCTCCTCAAGGGCACTAGACTTGGTTTTAAGGGAAAGGATTATCTCATTGACGTCAGTGGAATTAATAGGCTTTAGGTACAGAGACTGTGGATAGTTACCTGTAAGATAGTCCTTAATGTCAGTACTGGAAGATGGAATATCATTTGCAAGGGATGAACCAATGGAAGAGAAGAACCTATTGAACTCAATAGCAGAATCAGAGGCTGAAAGCTGACCATCGTTATTAGACAGGAGAGTCGGTTTGTTATTTAAAGATTTCTTTGATCCCAATATTTGTGAAATTGTGCTCCAAGTTTGTTTAATGTTGCTCTTTATTTGAGTAAATTTATCTTCGTAGTAATTAGTTTTGGCTCGTCTAATTATCTTAGTTAGCAATAATGAGTAATTCTTTGAGAATTCTTTGGAGACAATTCCTAACCTATACTTCTTCTCAAGGTCGTGTTTTTTGTTAATGGATTTCAGTATTCCCTTTGTAAGCCAAGGATTGTTAAGCCTTTTGCTTGTGACTTGTTTTGTAAGCCTAGGACAGTGGGTGTTATAAAGGCTAAGCAAGCAACTGTTACTTGGATCATACAAGCAACACTGTTACTTGGATCATACAAGCAACACTGTTACTTGGATCATACAAGCAACACTGTTACTTGGATCATACAAGCAACACTGTTACTTGGATCATACAAGCAACACTGTTACTTGGATCATACAAGCAACACTGTTACTTGGATCATACAAGCAACACTGTTACTTGGATCATACAAGCAACACTGTTACTTGGATCATACAAGCAACACTGTTACTTGGATCATACAAGCAACACTGTTACTTGGATCATACAAGCAACACTGTTACTTGGATCATACAAGCAACACTGTTACTTGGGTCATACAAGCAACACTGTTACTTGGATCATACAAGCAACACTGTTACTTGGATCATACAAGCAACACTGTTACTTGGATCATACAAGCAACACTGTTACTTGGATCATACAAGCAACACTGTTACTTGGATCATACAAGCAACACTGTTACTTGGATCATACAAGCAACACTGCTACTTGAGTAATAAAGCTCAACAAGCCACAATGTGGCACAGAAAACAGAGATGCTTTTCTAACCAAAGTGTTATAAACCAATGGAACCGCTTACCCGCCAAAGTCATAAATGCAAAATCTCTTCTACAATTATAATATTAATTACTGAGTTTGTACTGTTGCAAAATAAAAAACTTCACTTTTCAAATATCACTTAAAATCTTGCTAAGACGTCAACGTGTTCTTACACATCTAAGAGATGTGTAAATATTTCATTCACAATGATCTACTACCAGAAATTTTTGCCAAATATCCCCAGTTTGTTAACTGTAGGTAGTAACTGTGTGACTGTAACTTATCCACCGCTGCCCACTGGATGGTTCAAGCGGAAAGATTCAAGATTCCCGCCCGAAGAGTCAACCGGAACACACAACCAAAATCTTTCACCGATAAGTGCGCCAGGCTTCGTATCAACCGTTGCCGTTGAGGAGGAGTGCCAGACGGCAGTATCAACACCCACTGGTCACAATCTCGTAAGGTGTCCCAGCGGTGTCCCACCAGCTCTGACGGTGTCCAGTCAGAGCTGGTGTCCCAGAGGTGCCCAGACAGAGCAGGTGGGCCAGCGGTGCCCAGACAGAGCAGGTGTGCCAGCGGTGTCCAGGCAGGGCAGGTGTGCCAGCGGTGTCCAGGCAGGGCAGGTGTGCCAGCGGTGCCCAGACAGAGCAGGTGGGCCAGCGGTGCCCAGACAGAGCAGGTGTGCCAGCGGTGTCCAGGCAGGGCAGGTGTGCCAGCGGTGTCCAGGCAGGGCAGGTGTGCCAGCGGTGCCCAGGCAGGGCAGGTGTGCCAGCGGTGTCCAGGCAGGGCAGGTGTGCCAGCGGTGCCCAGACAGAGCAGGTGTGCCAGCGGTGTCCAGGCAGGGCAGGTGTGCCAGCGGTGCCCAGACAGAGCAGGTGTGCCAGCAGTGCCCAGACAGAGCAGGTGTGCCAGCGGTGTCCAGACAGAGCAGGTGTCCCAGCGGTGTCCAGGCAGGGCAGGTGTGCCAGCGGTGTCCAGGGGTGTCTAGACATACGCTCGTCGTCAAGGCTGAAGGCTGTTCCCGCATATAATCGTCAAGCTAGAGGATAAAACCTTTACATAAACTGCATATATCATAAGAATAAAAATCTGCAACTACTACAAACAAGACCCGAAGACAAAAATAACTAAGTTAACGTTATAATTCTAAATAAACACATTCTCGTTTTCTTTTAATACAAGAAAATGATATTGTTCAGTCTTACCCCAGACTCTTGTAAATTTAACCATAGTTAATAATAACAACAACAAAAATATTTATTTACCTCAAAATATATATATTTTGGTTATATTCTAGTGTATACATAAATGTTATAGCATTACAATATGTTTATAAGACCGCAAACCCGTTACTTTGTACATATTATATGGTGATAGAACCCTTTATATACTTGCATATATACTTTTATAATATATAGGATGTATACATATTGTACTACAATAATTGGTATATAGATATAGACAGGAAGAAGTGGGTTGTGGTGAATGAACACTAGTGGTGGTGAGAGAGAGAGAGAGAGGGAGAGTGAGAGGAAGATGGCGGCCGTGAGAGTGTGGTCCTCCTGCCGGGTGTGTGTCCGGGGCTGGCCTGGCGCCCTCACACCCTCCACACACCTGCACACAACACCTGCAACACCTGCCACCAAGGCTACACACACCGGCCAGGTCATACCTCTGGTTATACCCGTAGGGGGGGAGAGAAAGGGTCTCCCTAGTTCTATATCACAATATGTTATTATATTCAGGTTTCTTAATCCTAATGTTTCTAAGACATTGTCCGGGGTTATGGAGATGGTGTGATTCCATGTATTGTGTGATCTTACTTAGCACTCTCTCAAAGGTTGTTATGATGTGTGATGTTAGTGCTATCGGTCTGTAATTGTGCCTCTGCCTTAAAGCTATAAGGCAGCTTTATGGAGGTAAATACAGCTATCTCTGGTGTTGTTAGTATGTGAAGGATAACGCCAGTGTCTAGGCTGTGTCTCCACACAATGTGGAGGGCCTGTGATAGTGGTTTGTTCAGTTCTTGATGACTATAGAGTCCCAAGAGTCCGGGCCTGGTGCAGAGTGCATAGGTATACTGTCTATGGCTTCTTCAAACTCCAGTGGGGACAGGGTGACGTCTGATATATGATGTTGGTATCGGCATCACAACCATGAAAATTTCATTTGAGTTATCGATCATAGTGTGTTTAGTCGCTCGCTGAAATCAGTCGTACTGCGTCCTCAGTAACTCGCTCATTTCTTTGTTGTCATCGGTGAAAGTTCCATCTCCCTTTCGCAGGGGCCCGATACTAGATGTGGTTTTTATCTTCATTTCTCATAGGCGGAAAAATATTTCTGATTTCTCTATTTCACTGATGGCTGTTTGCTCTGTCTCTTGAATTTTATATGATTTTTGTAGCTTTAGTTCAATAGTTTCTATTTCTCTACCCTAACTGGGCGCCTGACAGCTGAGTGGCCAGCGCTTTGGATTCGTAGTCCTGAGGTTCCAGGTTCGATCCCCGGTGGAGGGGGAAATAAATGGGTAGTTTTTTCACCCTGATGTCCCTGTTACCTTAGCAGTAAATAGGTACCTGGGAGTTAGACAGCTGCTACGGGCTGCTTCCTGGGGGTGTGTAACAGGAGGCCTGGTAAGGGCCGGGCTGCGGGGACGCTAAGCCCTGAAATCATTTCGCGATAACCTCAAGAACATAACTTAGCCTCCTCCTTTGTTCTTGAGTTAATGTGCGACTCTCAAGTTGTTCCATGATTCGTTTTCTTCGCCTATAGAGGGAACGACGTTCCCATTCCAATCTGCATCTCTTCCTCTTTTTTTCTTAGGGGTATGCAGTTTGAGCATATTTCTAGTAATTACTTAAGTGTACAGTAGTTACAGGATGAGAGCTACGCTCGTGGTGTCCCGTCTTCCCAGCACTCTGTCATATAACGCTTTGGACTTACTGACAGTTTTGGCCTCCACCACCTTCTCCCCTAACTTGTTCCAACTGTCTACCACAGTTTGCGAAAGTGAATTTTCTTATATATCTTCGGCATGTGTGTTTAGCTAGTTTAAATCTATGACCTCTTGTTCTTAAAGTTCCAGGTCTCGGGAAATCTTCCCTGTCAATTTTATCAATTCCTGTTACTATTTTGTATGTAGTGATCATATCACCTCTTTTTCTTCTGTCTTCTAGTTTTGGCATATTTAATGCCTCTAACCTCTCCTCGTAGCTCTTGCCCTTCAGTTCTGGGAGCCACTTAGTAGCATGTCTTTGCACCTTTTCCAGTTTGTTGATGTGCTTTTTAAGATATGGGCACCACACAACCGCTGCATATTCTAGCTTTGGCCTAACAAAAGTCGTGAACAATTTCTTTAATATTTCGCCATCCATGTATTTAAAAACAATTCTGAAGTTAGAAAGCATAGCATAGGCTCCTCGCACAACGTTCTTTATGTGGTCCTCAGGTGACAGTTTTCTATCTAGAACCACCCCTAGATCTCTTTCTTTATCAGAAGGTCTTTAAAGATTTCTCACATAATTTATAGGTTGTGTGGGGTCTATTTTCTCCTATTCCACATTCCATAACATGGCATTTATTCACATTAAATTCCATTTGCCAGTGTTGCTCCATATACTTATTTTGTCCAGGTCTTCTTTAAGGGCATGACAATCATCTAAGTTTCTTATCCTTCCTATTATCTTAGCATCATCACCAAACATGTTCATATAATTCTGTATTCCAGCTGATAAATCATTTATGTAGACAATGACCATTACCGGTGCAAGAACTGAACCCTGTGGTACTCCACTTGTGACATTTCTCCAGTCCGATACATTGCCTCTGATCACTGCCCTCATTTTTTGTGTTAGAAAATTTTTCATCCATGTTAGAAGTCTGCCCGTCACCCCTCCAATATGTTCCAGTTTCCAGAACAACCTCTTATGTGGAACCCTGTCAAAAGCCTTTTTTTTTTTTTTTTAGGTACAGATAGATGCAGTCAAACCAACTCTTGATGAACCTGAGTGTGTCCTGGACAATTTTTAGAATTATCATCATCTATACTTGTAAATAATCAATACAAGTTTTATTTATTTTGCAGAATTTTGAAGAGGGTGACATCCGTAATGTTCGATTTGAAGTAACGCCAAGACAAACTAATGAACGCTGGGCCATCAATCTTATAAAAGATGTTCCTCCAAAGGCGGTGAAGTCCCGTGTTGTGGCGTGCGACGGCGGCCCTGGAGCCCTCGGTCACCCAAGGATATATATTAATTTAGTGAGTACACTAGCATCATAAGTAGATGGTCCACAATGGGAGGGGTTCAAAGATTGGTCCACAATGGGAGGGGTTCAAAGATTGGTCCACAATGGGAGGGGTTCAAAGATTGGTCCACAATGGGAGGGGGTTCAAAGATTGGTCCACAATGGGAGGGGGTTCAAAGATTGGTCCACAATGGGAGGGGGTTCAAAGATTGGTCCACAATGGGAGGGGTTCAAAGATTGGTCCACAATGGGAGGGGTTCAAAGATTGGTCCACAATGGGAGGGGTTCAAAGATTGGTCCACAATGGGAGGGGTTCAAAGATTGGTCCACAATGGATGGGGTTCAAAGATTGGTCCACAATAGATGGGGTTCAAAGATTGGTCCACAATGGATGGGGGTACAAAGATTGGTTCATAATGGATAGGGGTTCAAAGATTGGTTCATAATGGATGGGGTTCAAAGATTGGTCCACAATGGATGTGGTTCAAAGATGGGTCCATAATGGATGGGGTTTAAAGATTGGTCAATAATGGATGGGGTTCAAAGATTGGTCCATAATGGATGGGGTTCAAAGATTGGTCCATAATGGATGGGGTTCAAAGATTGGTCCAAAATGGATGGGGTTCAAAGATTGGTCCATAATGGATGGGGTTCAAAGATACTGGTCCATAATGGATGGGGTTCAAAGATACTGGTCCACAATGGGTGGGGTTCAAAGATACTGGTCCACAATGGGTGGGGTTCAAAGATACTGGTCCACAATGGGTGGGGTTCAAAGATACTGGTCCACAATGGGTGGGGTTCAAAGATACTGGTCCACAATGGGTGGGGTTCAAAGATACTGGTCCACAATGGGTGGGGTTCAAAGATACTGGTCCACAATGGGTGAGGTTCAAAGATACTGGTCCACAATGGGTGGGGTTCAATATCATAGCTAAAACCAGCATAGTCGGGGAACAAAATCACTTGTATTTGTTCAGACCGCATGTGGAAATTAGGAGCCATTATTTATTAAGGATTGGTCACACGAGTAAGAAAAGTATTTATTAAGTAGCCTACAGCAAAATTACAGTTTACTGTAGCCTTTAACCATGCATGGATTCAAGCAAGTTCTATGTTCTATGAGAACAGCATGCTATTGTCATAGAACGTCATTATTCAGCATTACGAACATAATGCTTAATACTTGCATATTCTGTAGCACAGTGGTCTACATCCTCAGGCTCATAATTGAGGGGCATGGGTTCAATCCTAAGGCATGATTTAGATGGTTGGGCATGTCTTAAGGAAGGTCAGTAGTTGGCCTAGGGCAGGGGGAGGGTGGGGTGGGGGGGGTGGGGGCAAACCCATGGCACACGTACCCCTTTTGGCATGCGAGTAAATTTTGCTGACACTCGGCACACAGTGTGGCCCTTAATTTTTTAGACCCCCCCAACCATAATAAATACATGTATTTATTTATTATGGTCTGTTTTTAAAGTCTTTTTTAAGTATGCTTTCAATAATTTTGTTCTTTTTCTGTAAAATCCAAATACTGTATAATAATAAATTATAATCTGCAGCCAACACTGTGCCACTGGGCACGCGAGATAAGTTTTTAGAAGAGCATTGCCAATTTGGGCACTCGTTATCAAAAAGATTCACCCACCCCTGGCCTAGGGGGACCTGGATAAGTCTAGGTACAGGCTTCCTGTCCCAAATAATGTGAATTATCTGATACGTTGTCTCAAGCAACAAGACGTTCTGTATATTTGGTCACACTCTAAAAGGCCTTTGCAGCACAATGTTAAATCAATTCATAAATTGAGTCCCTACATTGTATTGATAGTTAGTTTCTTCAGTAGACTTGTTTACAGTCTGCTGAAGAAGCTATCATTGCTGATTAATGTATATTGAGAGGGATGTAAATACGGTTTTAAATATCAACACAAAATAGAACGTGAAACAATGAGCGTATATTCAAAAAGTTTAAATTCATGAAAGACCTGGGTAAATACTGGTTTAGAAACAGCATTGTTGTTTTATGGAATAAATTACTGGGTAACATAATATTTACCTGAGGGCCACTAATACTAGTTGCCTTGACAAGGACAGGAAGCCAGCAGCTTGTCAAAGGTCCCCCCCCCCCCATTTGCACAGCTGTGAAAAAATATGTGATTGCAGGATTGTTTTGGTGGATATAAATAGGAGCTGCCACCGATGGGCCAATACACTACTGCAGTGTCCTCTATTCTTATGTTCTTATTACCATACAAACTATTGAAGCAGAAATAGCCAAATTTTCAACTTTTTATTTACAGGATGACGCAGGAAACCACAGCTGCATCTACTGTGGTTTGAGGTACTACAAAGACGACGGTCACTAACATGGTGGTGGTTAATACCACTCGTGAAAGTCTTGAAAATACAAAGTTCAGTACTGTGTATCCATTGATCTTGGCAGAGTGTAACTGCAATACTTCTTAAGATTTAAGAGCTTTATTGGTCAGCTTGTATATATAGTGTGTATATAGTGTATGGATAAACTGTAAACACATCATATTTCCTATGGAATTTTATTAGCCAACGATTGATATGATTTTTACAGTGTTTGCCGGCATATTTATTTGTATTTATATACAAGAAGGTACATAGAGTTGTGAGAGTACGTAATATTGGTGTTTTTACATTCTTGCAATGCAACTAACACGCACAGCGTTTGGGCAGAAACGTAGATGCCTCAGCCATGTAACTACACCTGATATACCAACATGTCCTTTTTAATAGTACATCGCATTTTGACGTGTAAATCTCCTACGGCTGAAAACTGATGTACGAAAAGTAATCACGGCTCACAAAATTGATCTGGTCCCATTTTCTATTTGTGGATCATCCGTCAGGTTAGGTTCAGGCAATTTTGTACACAAGGTTAGTGAAATATTTGCTGGAGAGGACAGCTTTAGAGATACTGTACAAGGATATTTTGAGGGACAAAACAAGTGTTTGTATGTTCTGCTGTACATTTATTATAAGTTATTTTCAGGTGTTTTTGTAGGGAAAAATGCAGGATTTTGTGCACATAAATATAATATACAGTGGTATGCCTTGAGTTGGTTTCGAGGTCTTGGCGGCCCGGTTTTCATCCAGGCCTCCTCGTTGCTGGACTGGTCAACCAGGCTGTTGGACGCGGCTGCTCGCAGCCTGATGTATGTATCACAGCCTGGTTGATCAGGTATCCTTTGGAGGTGTTTATTAAGTTCTCTTCAACACTGAGGGGGATTGGCCAGTTATGACCCTTATGTGTAGTGGAAGCGTGTTGAACAGTCTCAGCCTCTGATGTTGATAGTTCTCTTGAACACTGTGAGGGTCGGCCAGCTATGCTCCTTACGTGTAGTAGAAGCATGTTGAACAGTATCAGGCCTCTGATGTTCATAGAATTCTCTCTCAGGGTACCTATTGCATCTCAGGTTTTCAATGTGGGTATTCTGCACATCCTGCCATGCTTTCTGGTCTCATGTGTTATTTCTGTGTGCAAGTTTGGGACCAGCCCCTCTATTATTTTCGACGTGTAAATTATTATGTATCTCTCCCGCCTGCGCTCAAGTGAATATAAATTTAGGCATTTTAATCGGTCCCAATTGTTTAGATGTTTTACTGAGTGGATTCTAGCAGTAAAGGATCTCTGCACGCTCTCCAGGTCAGCAATTATACGAGCTTCGAAAGGGGCTGTCATTGTGCAGCAGTACTCCACTCTAGAGAGCACAAGCGTCTTGGAGAATATCATCATCGGTATAGCATCTCTAGTGTGAAAAGTTCTTGTTATCCAACATGTCATTTTTCTTGCAGTTGTGACGGCTACTTTATTGGGGTTCTTTAAATGTAAGGTCTTCCAACATGAGTACACCCAGATCCTTTACATTGCCTTTTCGTTCAATATTATGATTTGACTGCATTTTTTATGTAAGTTCTGGCTTTTATATTTTCATTTTTTTCCATAGCACAAGAGCTGGAACTTATATTCATTAAATACCATATTATTTTCTGTAGCCCATTGAACCTTCCCGGAACCCTGGTACAGTACCTTCATTTACAAATTTTAATTTAATGTTTTACTACAACTAAGACATAATAGAATAGAATCTTTGAGTACTAATTCAAGATCAGATGCCATTACTATAGCTAAGTGCATCAGAGATAAAAAAAAATTAAATCTGTATTTGCCATTAAGTTTTGAACTGTTGCCTTTTCATTAAAAAGTTGAATTTTTTGGGGGGATGGTTAATATTGTCTTACATGGCTGAAACGTGTTAGTAAGAGGGCTTAGCAGTTTTATTGTCATAACATTTTTATTGAAATTGAACAACTTTTAATTTTTAACACTTTAGTCCGGGCATGACGCACCATTGCGTCATCCGTTTACTGTCGGTCATCTCGGGGATGACGCAGCATTGCGTCATCCACTAAAATAATTGCCAAAAATCGGGTTTTTATCCGATTTTTGGGGGGACTGTTTGGTAACTGTCAACAAGCCGAATGCAATCTGTGACTACAACACAAACATGAAAGGTGTTGATCACTTTGACCAAATGATCAAATATTATAACTTCATAAGGAAAACTCACAAATGGACGAAGAAAATGACCTTCTATTTTGTGCAAATGGCTATCTACAATGCTTATGTGATGTACAACTACTACACAAAAATACTAAACTATAATACTACATATACTAAAATACTAAATACTAAACATTTGTGGGCAGGAATTGGGAGTGTAGCTGGAAGGCGTCTGGGCGCTCACTCGCGGTTAACGCGTGGCCCGTCTTCAACTCGTCGGCGGGTGGCGCGTGACCAGGTTTTTTATTTTATATGCTAATGTTCCTCTAGAGAATTATATTGCAAACCCATTGATACCAAAATGAAAGACCTAGGACGAAAATTGAGGTGAAAAGAGTGAACACATTTTATTGCTTTTGCGCGCTCCTTGGTAACTCATTCGCACTTTCTCTGTTTGCTGCGGGTAATTAGTCAGGCTTTTGGAGTTTATGTGCATTTAGTGCTGTAGAGAATTCTATTGTGAACACAAAGATACCAAATTTAATCTCGTAGGACGAGAATTAAGGTGACAAAGTTGAAGAGAGTATACACTTTTCAGAATTAACACTCGCTCCCATGAAACGCTGGGACCCAAATTGCACAGTTAAAGGGTGGCGCACGGGGCACGCCAAAGTGTTTATTAAATTAAAAAACTTTAAATGTTTCCAAAATAAACCCTGTTAAAAAAATCTTGTAAAAAGGTGCTACTTAAGCGACAAAATAAGGTAAACGTGAACTAAATATCGGGCACTTGTGTCTGTCATATGAGCAGTGTTGAACACAGTGTTTTGAACAGTAAATCATGAATGGTTTGGTGCTCTTTATTCCTAAAATGTTATGTAATGACATTGTGCTATAAGAGATTGCCTGGGACTACATGTTAGCCACATTACTTGTTGGCCATGTTGAAGGTTTAATTTATAGGTCCGTAGACCTATAAAATTAAGCGTCAACAAATTAACCTTATAATATATATATATATATAGACAGTAAGCCTGTGTATACTGTATCGAGGTCCACCTAAGGTTGAACTACTGACCTTTCCCAAGGTGTAACCCACAACAGTTGCCAAGTTCCTGGGTACCTATTTACTGCTGGGTGAATATATGCATTAGGTGAAAGGAAATGAGCCCAACCATTTGTCCTGGCCGGGAATCGAACCCAGGATCCCTGATTGTGAATGGAGAAAGGAGTCAACAAGACTAAGAGATGTACAAGTGTCTTAAGTGTATACTTAAGTGCTTGGTAAATCCCAGCCCTGATACATCCCAGTGCAAAAATAAATCTAGAAGCCTTGGGAGCCGAGGAAGTCAACAGCCTGTTGGATCTGAAAAGCAGAATAGAACCAGTGAAGAGCAGAGGTGCCATAGGCACAATCAGAGAACACTGTTTAAACATCAGAGGTCTGCGGTTGTTCAACGTCCTCCTAGTAAGCATAAGAAATATTGCCGGGACAACAGTGGACATCTTGGAGAAAACTATGTAGTTTTCTCTTGAAGGAGTGCCGGACCAACCGGGCTGTGGTGGGTATATGAGCCTGCGGGCCGCTCCAAGCAACAGCCTGGTGAACCAAACTCTTACAAGTCAATCTTGGCTTCGGGCGGGACTTGGGAAGTAGAACAACTCCCAGAACCCCCATCAAGCAGGTATCAAGCTGGTATCAAGCTCTCACAAGTCAAGAATGGCCTTGGGCCGGGCTTGGGGAAAATTCTAGAACTCTCAGAACACCTTCAAGCACGTAGCAGCTCTGGCCAAAATTTACCGGAAACTGAAGCGTACATAAAGAGAAAAAGGGACAAAAGCACGAGCTTGGAGGAATCAGTCTCATAGCTAACCATTGTATTTACACCACAGTGTAAAATACCAGTTGTGATTATCTTAAGGTTATCTTGAGATGATTTCGGGGCTCGGCGTCCCCGCGGCCCGGTCCTCGACCAGGCCTCCTTTTTGTTACACCCCCCCAGGAAGCAGCCCGTAGCAGCTATTTTAACTCCCAGGTGCCTATTTACTGCTAGGTGACAGGGGCATCAGGGTGAAAGAAACATTTTGCCCATTTGTCTCCGCCTCCACCAGGAATCTAACCCGGAACCTCAGGACTACGAATCCGAATTGCTGTCCACTCAGCTGTCAGGCGCCCAAACAGGTGCCTGTCAGTCGGGCATGGTAAACTGGATTATTTTGTGAGTCTGCCAAGAGCAGAACAATAACTTTACAAGTTCTTACGTTCTTGTAAAGCCACTATCACGCATAATGTTTTGGGCAGGTCCTTGATCTTAATTTTTCCTGGAATATGACCTGCCAAATTGTTTAACAATCAGGTACCCACTCACTGTTGGGTGAATAGAGGCGTACAGTTAAGGATTGGCACCTAGTCAATCCTTCCCAGGAAGGTTACAAACCCAGGCCAAATTGCTGTTAGTTACCAGTGCAAAGAAGAGTGAACTGGTCAAGTAACTGTACACTGACTGGACAGTGCGAGTCCACAATCTGACACTCCCAATGGCTGGCTGTCTGCAAAATAAAAAATCACCCAACACTTCATGTGATTGATTATCCTAATTTCCCATTTTTGTCCAGCCTTTTTCAAGATTTTAAAAAGTTCCTGTTTAGCTTTATCTTGAAAGTTCTAGCTAATGGGTCCCAATATCATATCTAGGCAGCTGCCTTCCCTAACCACCGATATCCAATCCTCCTGCTGTTGCTAATGTCCAGTTATCTCTAAAAAATATAATTTTTTATTTTTGTTACACCTTTTCTGCAGTAAATTTTATTGTCTTGAATGTTGTTTCTGACTTTTTTACCTCTCCTTGGACACCAATCTAATTCTGGGTTTAAATAGTTGGATGAATTCCTAGAGGATCAGTAGGATATACTGCAGCAACCAACAGCCTATGGAGTAAGTTATCACCAAACACGCCTCATCCCAAGCAGGGCTTGAAAAGTTACAGGTAAGCAAAGTTCCAGTACAGTCAGTTACTTCACAAGTGCTCCTGGAGGAGCTCTATTACATGTCCTTTACAAGTGCTCCTGGAGTAGCTATATTATTGTCATATTTTGTGAGTGGTGAGGACAGAGTGCGTGATGCAGGTCTACCATAATGGGGGAAGGTAAACCTGAATATACTAAAAGATATTCAAGATTCGGGAAAACTCTGGGAAAAGACATGTTTGGAATTAGGGCAATTGAGTTACAGAACACGTTATTGGGTAACCTAATAGATGTGGATTGTTTGGTTGTTACAAGCATAGTTTAGACATACAGTACTGTATGTCTAAACTGTTCATAGTTTAGACATTCAGTACTATATATATATTTATGAATGAATTTGAGTGGGTATCATTAGGTGGTGCCTTATATGGGTAAATAGAACTTTGCAGTTTCCTTCATTTAAATGTTACTGCAACTTGAGATTTGATACAAGAGTTGCATGAAGCATAAACTGCTTCATAGAAGTGGCATTGTACTGTCTGGTTGTAGGTGGCATTGTACTGTTTGGTTGTAGGTGGCATTGTACTGTCTGGTTGTAGGTGGCATTGTACTGTCTGGTTGTGTGTGGCATTGTACTGTCTGGTTGTGTCTGACATTGTACTGTCTGATTGTAGGTGACATTGTACTGTCTGGTTGTGTCTGACATTGTACTGATTGTAGGTGACATTGTACTGTCTGGTTGTAGGTGACATTGTACTGTCTGGTTGTAGGTGGCATTGTACTGTCTGGTTGTGTGTGGCATTGTACTGTCTGGTTGTGTCTGACATTGTACTGTCTGGTTGTAGGTGACATTGTACTGTCTGGTTGTGTCTGACATTGTACTGTCTGGTTGTAGGTGACATTGTACTGTCTGGTTGTAGGTGACATTGTACTGTCTGGTTGTAGGTGACATTGTACTGTCTGGTTGTAGGTGACATTGTACTGTCTGGTTGTAGGTGACATTGTACTGTCTGGTTGTAGGTGATATTGTACTGTCTGGTTGTGTGTGACATTGTACTGTCTGATTGTAGGTGACATTGTACTGTCTGGTTGTAGGTGGCATTGTACTGTCTGGTTGTAGATGGCATTGTACTGTCTGGTTGTGTGTGACATTGTACTGTCTGGTTGTAGGTGACATTGTACTGTCTGGTTGTGTCTGACATTGTACTGTCTGGTTGTAGGTGACATTGTACTGTCTGGTTGTAGGTGACATTGTACTGTCTGGTTGTAGGTGACATTGTACTGTCTGGTTGTGTGTGACATTGTACTGTCTGATTGTAGGTGACATTGTACTGTCTGGTTGTGTCTGACATTGTACTGTCTGGTTGTAGGTGACATTGTACTGTCTGGTTGTAGGTGACATTGTACTGTCTGGTTGTGTCTGACATTGTACTGTCTGGTTGTAGGTGACATTGTACTGTCTGGTTGTAGGTGACATTGTACTGTCTGGTTGTAGGTGGCATTGTACTGTCTGGTTGTAGGTGACATTGTACTGTCTGGTTGTGTGTGACATTGTACTGTCTGGTTGTGTGTGACATTGTACTGTCTGGTTGTAGGTGGCATTGTACTGTCTGGTTGTAGATGGCATTGTACTGTCTGGTTGTGTGTGACATTGTACTGTCTGGTTGTAGGTGGCATTGTACTGTCTGGTTGTAGATGGCATTGTACTGTCTGGTTGTGTGTGACATTGTACTGTCTGGTTGTAGGTGACATTGTACTGTCTGGTTGTGTGTGACATTGTACTGTCTGGTTGTAGATGACATTGTACTGTCTGGTTGTAGATGACATTGTACTGTCTGGTTGTAGATGACATTGTACTGTCTGGTTGTAGGTGACATTGTACTGTCTGGTTGTGTGTGACATTGTACTGTCTGGTTGTAGGTGACATTGTACTGTCTGGTTGTGTGTGGCATTGTACTGTCTGGTTGTAGGTGGCATTGTACTGTCTGGTTGTAGGTGGCATTGTACTGTCTGGTTGTGTGTGACATTGTACTGTCTGGTTGTAGGTGACATTGTACTGTCTGGTTGTAGGTGGCATTGTACTGTCTGGTTGTAGGTGGCATTGTACTGTCTGGTTGTAGGTGACATTGTACTGTCTGGTTGTAGGTGACATTGTACTGTCTGGTTGTAGGTGACATTGTACTGTCTGGTTGTAGGTGACATTGTACTGTCTGGTTGTGTGTGACATTGTACTGTCTGGTTGTAGGTGACATTGTACTGTCTGGTTGTAGGTGGCATTGTACTGTCTGGTTGTAGGTGGCATTGTACTGTCTGGTTGTAGGTGACATTGTACTGTCTGGTTGTAGGTGACATTGTACTGTCTGGTTGTAGGTGGCATTGTACTGTCTGGTTGTAGGTGACATTGTACTGTCTGGTTGTAGGTGACATTGTACTGTCTGGTTGTAGGTGACATTGTACTGTCTGGTTGTAGGTGGCATTGTACTGTCTGGTTGTAGGTGGCATTGTACTGTCTGGTTGTAGGTGACATTGTACTGTCTGGTTGTAGGTGGCATTGTACTGTCTGGTTGTAGGTGGCATTGTACTGTCTGGTTGTAGGTGGCATTGTACTGTCTGGTTGTAGGTGACATTGTACTGTCTGGTTGTATGTGACATTGTACTGTCTGGTTGTAGGTGACATTGTACTGTCTGGTTGTAGGTGGCATTGTACTGTCTGGTTGTAGGTGGCATTGTACTGTCTGGTTGTAGGTGACATTGTACTGTCTGGTTGTAGGTGGCATTGTACTGTCTGGTTGTAGATGGCATTGTACTGTCTGGTTGTGTGTGACATTGTACTGTCTGGTTGTAGGTGACATTGTACTGTCTGGTTGTGTCTGACATTGTACTGTCTGGTTGTAGGTGACATTGTACTGTCTGGTTGTAGGTGACATTGTACTGTCTGGTTGTAGGTGACATTGTACTGTCTGGTTGTGTGTGACATTGTACTGTCTGATTGTAGGTGACATTGTACTGTCTGGTTGTGTCTGACATTGTACTGTCTGGTTGTAGGTGACATTGTACTGTCTGGTTGTAGGTGACATTGTACTGTCTGGTTGTGTCTGACATTGTACTGTCTGGTTGTAGGTGACATTGTACTGTCTGGTTGTAGGTGACATTGTACTGTCTGGTTGTAGGTGGCATTGTACTGTCTGGTTGTAGGTGACATTGTACTGTCTGGTTGTGTGTGACATTGTACTGTCTGGTTGTGTGTGACATTGTACTGTCTGGTTGTAGGTGGCATTGTACTGTCTGGTTGTAGATGGCATTGTACTGTCTGGTTGTGTGTGACATTGTACTGTCTGGTTGTAGGTGGCATTGTACTGTCTGGTTGTAGATGGCATTGTACTGTCTGGTTGTGTGTGACATTGTACTGTCTGGTTGTAGGTGACATTGTACTGTCTGGTTGTGTGTGACATTGTACTGTCTGGTTGTAGATGACATTGTACTGTCTGGTTGTAGATGACATTGTACTGTCTGGTTGTAGATGACATTGTACTGTCTGGTTGTAGGTGACATTGTACTGTCTGGTTGTGTGTGACATTGTACTGTCTGGTTGTAGGTGACATTGTACTGTCTGGTTGTGTGTGGCATTGTACTGTCTGGTTGTAGGTGGCATTGTACTGTCTGGTTGTAGGTGGCATTGTACTGTCTGGTTGTGTGTGACATTGTACTGTCTGGTTGTAGGTGACATTGTACTGTCTGGTTGTAGGTGGCATTGTACTGTCTGGTTGTAGGTGGCATTGTACTGTCTGGTTGTAGGTGACATTGTACTGTCTGGTTGTAGGTGACATTGTACTGTCTGGTTGTAGGTGACATTGTACCGTCTGGTTGTAGGTGACATTGTACTGTCTGGTTGTGTGTGACATTGTACTGTCTGGTTGTAGGTGACATTGTACTGTCTGGTTGTAGGTGGCATTGTACTGTCTGGTTGTAGGTGGCATTGTACTGTCTGGTTGTAGGTGACATTGTACTGTCTGGTTGTAGGTGACATTGTACTGTCTGGTTGTAGGTGGCATTGTACTGTCTGGTTGTAGGTGACATTGTACTGTCTGGTTGTAGGTGACATTGTACTGTCTGGTTGTAGGTGACATTGTACTGTCTGGTTGTAGGTGGCATTGTACTGTCTGGTTGTAGGTGGCATTGTACTGTCTGGTTGTAGGTGACATTGTACTGTCTGGTTGTAGGTGGCATTGTACTGTCTGGTTGTAGGTGGCATTGTACTGTCTGGTTGTAGGTGGCATTGTACTGTCTGGTTGTAGGTGACATTGTACTGTCTGGTTGTATGTGACATTGTACTGTCTGGTTGTAGGTGACATTGTACTGTCTGGTTGTAGGTGGCATTGTACTGTCTGGTTGTAGGTGGCATTGTACTGTCTGGTTGTAGGTGACATTGTACTGTCTGGTTGTAGGTGGCATTGTACTGTCTGGTTGTAGGTGGCATTGTACTGTCTGGTTGTAGGTGACATTGTACTGTCTGGTTGTAGGTGGCATTGTACTGTCTGGTTGTAGGTGACATTGTACTGTCTGGTTGTAGGTGGCATTGTACTGTCTGGTTGTAGGTGACATTGTACTGTCTGGTTGTAGGTGGCATTGTACTGTCTGGTTGTAGGTGACATTGTACTGTGTGGTTGTAGGTGACATTGTACTGTCTGGTTGTAGGTGGCATTGTACTGTCTGGTTGTAGGTGACATTGTACTGTGTGGTTGTAGGTGGCATTGTACTGTCTGGTTGTAGGTGACATTGTACTGTATGGTTGTAGGTGACATTGTACTGACAACTTCTCCTCACTGGATATCAAGATGAAATATGGCAAAGTAATTCCAGATCAAAAGTTATTCGTCAAGTGGCATCCTTAAATTTAAATATGAAGGAATGTATAAATAAATGCAACTTCTACTGTTTTAATTTTTATTTTGAAGAATAAGTTATTCGATATCATTTACACTTTCTTTATGTCATTCCTGAAAAAAAAAATTGAAAAAGCAACATCTTAAACACAACATGCAAAATTTTTATATTTTACACATTTTAATACAACACAACATTCAAACTGTTTACATTCACATTGTAAACATTTTCTGGCAGATCTATGTACAAAAAACCCAACCCAGCAAATGTACAACTTGATCACAAAGTCTCTTTGTAACTATGTTAATAATGTGTTTTTACGTTACAATATTACACAATTAAGGTTTTAAGTTACGTTATTAACAGTAACAAAGCTACGAGTGTTTGCTGGGAAGTACCACTACACTACTCGCTGCATTACAACTCTCAGTCTGAGCTCATTCACAGCCTACAAAAATAGATATATTTTAGCATCACAAATGATTATCTCAACTGCATTCAATCACAGGAGAGTTTAGGAGTGAGCTACACTTTTTGCTTTCTACATAATGCTTTACGTAAGGAGGAAAAAGATGTACAATTCAGCCAACGATTAAAAAAAATGCGTCATTTATTAATGCACTAACACTAATTCAATAATTGCCATTATCAACGTGAAGAATGAGTATATTCATGCTCACTGTCTAAACAATATTGCAGTTGACATAACTGCCAATATATATAAAAATTCTCCATCAAGGATCTTTGGTTTCAAAATGGCACTGCCATTAACCTCAGGGCAATTGTTATCAAAATATCCAAATGTATTTGTTAATAAATACATTTTGCTTGAAGTGATTTTGTAACATTCTTAAATGTATATTATTAATTTGCATTTAATATATACAACACCGGTACTATACAAAAACAAATTAAATGATGGAAAACTTTACACCTGGAATGACGAGCAAACTATGTCATTGACATTTGATATTACATCCCTTGGGTGTCAATACAAAATTACATTATTGTAAATGACTAACAATGAATGGAAGTGAAGGACACTAATTTATTAATACCATGAGATATCATTAGTATGGCTTCTTCCTAGATTGTCAAGAAATAATTGAATATATGGTAAGTGAAACTATTTCTGAAAATGAAAATGGGTTCCCCAATCAGAATACAGTACTGTACTTTGTCTATCATTACAATTGTTTAACATTGGATTGAGCTGAATTAACATGAGACTTTGCAAATGTTTACACATCACCAAGAAATAATTTTAAAACTGGAAAACTGTCAGTTCCATTATTCAATGTACAAGCTTTATAACAGCACTCTCTCTAGTATCACCGAAAGGCAAAACACGTCACAGTTTGGCCAAAAATCTGATTACTATATTAACTTCGTCAAAATTATGATGAATTCAAAAGATAGAACTTTTTAATAGAACTTCTTCAGTTGCTCAAATGTGACAAAGAAGATTATATTCCAAGGTCCAAGCCGAAGCCATGTAGGAATGAATCCCTTATACAGCGCCAAGGGTCCCTCAGATTTAACCGTCTGTTGAAATAAGAGATATTTAGATGTATGCATTCAACAAATAGCCCACATGACTAGGGTCTAACACCTGCCATATACAGTACATGTAACTACAATATATAATTTATAATAATTCATTGTCAGTGGGAAGGCAGCCAAAGTGTATTCACACACACATTAGGCTTATATCGACGTTCCCCCCCCCAGGGTCGAATTACAGACCGCGCCCAGGATGCAACCCTACAACTAACTCCGGGTACCTACTTACTACTAGGTGAACAGAGGCATTAGGTGAAAGGGAATGTGCCCCAACCATTTCTCTCCCGCCTGGGATTCGAACCTGGAATTCTCGACTGTGAGGCAAGAACAAACCCGATTGCACTACCAAGACCCTAAAATGTTGTATTTACATGCACAGAATCATGTGTTTGCCCTATAAAACCACTTGAACATCACTAACAATTGTATGATGAAAGATACAAAAAATCCACAAAATAATCCCTGCAAATTATTTGATTTCCACCAAAATCTTGTACAGTATGGTGGAATGTATATTGCACCCCCCTCCCCTCCCCTCTCCTCCCTGAAAAATAATAAATGGCAGCAGTTATAGAAAATATTTGACAGAAATGCACAACTTTAAAATAGTATGAGTGTGTCAGGATTTTAGTACAGACATTTAGTCCATATGAGGAAGAGAGGGAGAACTGATACTGCAAATTCTTTGAAGACTTTAGTGGGAAATATCTGCGGCAGAGGTGGGTAATCCTGATCTACATCACAAGCATGGTATCAATAGAGGATAAGAAGATAGCAATAGTTCTCAATTTGTGCATGATCAGTGGCTCTATTAAAAATACAAATATACTATAAAATTATTAATCATCTTATAATAAATTTCAGATGGTGTATTATAATCCTTTAACTAAAAGTATGACAGAGCAACTGGCACATGTGCTAACAGCATCTGAGAGGCAAGCTGTTAGCATATGTACTTTATGAAAATCAGGGGAATACTGACTGGATAATGAGGGATACACACTTCCCAATGCTGCACCAAACGCATAAGACGAAGTGAGAGGTATGAGCTACGAGGAAAGGCGAAGGGAGCTGAACCTCACATTCCTGGAAAACAAAAGAGTACGGGAAAAGACACAAGGAAAGATGAAAAAGCAATGTTATGTCTCGTGTTGACCCAGAATGAGGCGAATCTTGACGGGATAAGATGGGAACCATTTGGGAGTCAGTGGTTGCTCTGTGTTCAACTACACAATGAAGTGGATGCATAATGGGTCAAGAGGTCAACAGAACTACAGGAGTGTGAAGTAGGAAGTGAACTAGTGAGGAAGGCAACAAATAAGATGGAAACATACATACCACTCTTTGCAGTGGCATGATCAATCTATGGTTGAGCAACATAATGTGGCCAAGAATAAACATAGGACAGCTTGGATAAAGTACAGGCTACAGATTACCAAGGCAGAGACACTTGAAGCAAACCAAAAGATTACAACAGAGGGGACGACAAACTAGTGATGTGTACAGCCTAGGCTATGGAAAAGTACAAACATTTCACTATGGATATTGAAAGAGGTAGCAGAAACTAGGCAACAGAGAGAGTAAAGCACTGTGTGTGTGTGTGTTTATGTGTGTGTGTTTATGTGTGTGTGTTTGTGTGTGTGTGTGTGTGTGTGTGTGTGTGTGTGTGTGTGTGTGTGTGTGTGTGTGTGTGTGTGTGTGTGTGTATATATACTTTTGTACCTAGTAGCCAGAATGCAATACCCGGCCTACTATGCAAGGCCCAATTTGCCTAATAAGCCAATTTCCTGAATTTATATATTTTGCTAATTTTTTTCTTGTGAAATGATAAAGCTATCCATTTCACTATGTATCAGTTAATTTTTTTAATTTGAGTTAAAACTAACGTAGATATATGACTGAACCTAACCAAGCCTACCTAACCTAACCTATCTTATCCTAACCTAAATTAACATAACTAATTCAATAATTTATGTTCTAAATATAATGTAATAATAACATTTCAAATTAACCAATTGGAATTTTGTTTTTTTAAATAAAGAAAATCACTTGGCCTATTAGGCAAATTGGGCCTTGCATAGTAGGCCAATAAGTGCATTATGGCTATATATATATATATATATATATATATATATATATATATATATATATATATATATATATATATATATATATATATATATATATATATATATATATATGTCGTACCTAGTAGCCAGAACTCACTTCTCAGCCTACTATTCAAGGCCCGATTTGCCTAATAAGCCAAGTTTTCCTGAATTAATATATTTACTATAATTTTTTTCTTATGAAATGATAAAGCAACACTTTTCTCTATGTATGAGGTCAATTTTTTTTATTGGAGTTAAAATTAATGTAGATATATGACCGAACCTAACCAACCCTACCTAACCTAACCTAGCCTATATTTATAGGTAAGGTTAGGTTAGGTAGCCAAAAAAAGCTAGGTTAGGTTAGGTTAGGTAGGTTAGGTTGACGAAAAAACATTAATTCATGAAAACTTGGCTTATTAGGCAAATCGGGCCTTGAATAGTAGGCTGAGAAGTGCGTTCTGGCTATTAGGTACGACATATATATATATATATATATATATATATATATATATATATATATATATATATATATATATATATATATATATATATATATATGTATATATATATATATATATATATATATATATATATATATATATATATATATATATATATATATATATATATATATATATATATATATATCAGTTCTTTTTCAGATAAGGTAAGTTAGAATAAGAAGAAACAGGTGGAAATAGGAAAAGCAAATGAGGTGGATAAATGTAATAAAATGGACATACAGAGTGAGGCTCAGTAAATGGAGTGGGTCAGAGGCCAGAGTGACAGAAGCACCACCATTCACAATATCAAGAGCAAAGGTGAGGGGAGGGAGGGAATTATCAGTGCTAATAGCTATTACAACTATATAGCACTGGGAAGGGGTCAGGATAAGGATTTAGGATGGGAGGGGGGGGGGGGGAGGAATGGTACCCAACCACTTGGACGGTCGGGGATAGAACGCCGACCTGCATCAAGCGAGACTGTCGCTCTACCCTCCACCTCAAGTGGTTGGGCAGAGCAAGGGTGAGAGCACTAAAACATGAGCAAGTAGAGATGCTTCAGCACGGGAGGGACACGAACAAGGGGACACAGGTGGAAACTTAGTACTGTACCTAGATGAGCCACAGAGACGTTAGAAAGAATTTTTTCAGTGTCAGAGTAGTTAATAAATGGAATGCACTAGGAAGTGATGTGGTGGAGGCTGACTCCATACACAGTTTCAAATGTAGATATGATAGAGCCCAGTAGGCTCAGGAATCTGTACACCAGTTGATTGACAGTTGAGAGGCGGGACCAAAGAGCCAAAGCTCAACCCCCGCAAGCACAATTAGGTGAGTACAACAGCTGGTGCAGCTCTACAGCTAAATTTCACTCCCTATAAATGATTAATCATGTGAAAAGAAATATCCAGCTTTGACTACACATGACATTCTTCTAACTTCACAATAGAAGAAAAGATCTACTGTATACCATATTATCCAGTGGATAAGACACACTCTTATACCATTAAGTTTAGGCTACAATAATGCCATCAATATCTTTAAGAGAGAATGTCTGTACATGGATGGAGGCCGGATGCTCGGGGTTTGCCTCATCCAACTTTTCAAGTTGAATGTTTTGGAGTACAGGATGGACATAGGCTGGGTGGGATCAGGCCTATTAGTCCTATTAAAAGGGGGATCGGGTCAAATAATGCCCCCCCCCAATCTAATTGATGAAAGGTGGCTGGCTAAGTTCATAGATTTCTTAATGGAAAATGACAAACCATTTTATGAAAGGGAAGGAGGAGGAAGGGAGGGGGGAAACCCCCGGAGTACTTGGGGGACCACAACCAAGCAACTTACATAAAAGAACACAGTAATATAGTAGCTGCACTTTCAGTAAATGCATGATGAACACAAACAAAAAAAATTATTCAACCAAATATCCTTGTAAAATAAAATAAGGGTGTCATACAGCGAACAATATTACAATAAATAAATTAAATCTTTGGAGGAGAAACCCATCTGTAAAAATGGGTTAGAACACACTTGATTGCATATACCTGCAATAAACTGTCCACAGTACTTGCAACACATCAGACTACACGTACCTGCACTAAGCAGTCCACTGTACTTGCATAAATTCTTGAAGTACACACTGCCCCATTACCACTAACTTGAGCTGGAGATTTTAACCTCTTTTGGTTCATCACTCGCGTCTGAAAATATGGTCATTGTAATACTGTTTAAGAATTGGTGTACTTCATCATATAAAGAACACTAAACATACTCTCTAATTAAAAAAAAAAAAAACAGCATTGAATGTAGTGAAACGCCATTTTCTGGGTGAGTCCCAGAGGCTTCCTGGAGCTATCCAGGCTGATATGGATATATTAGCTTTCTGGCATCAGTCAAAGTGCATGGAAATCTTGCTTACCAGGGACCATGAGCCAGAACCTGGTCTCCTCAGAGAGACACAAGGAGCAATGGAATATAGAAACCCCCGTGTGGTTGGGAGCATTACATGTCTGCCATCGACAGGATCTGGCACCCAGAAAGATAGGCGCCCCAAAACAAATCCGTATTCTGGTGAAAATACTGCTACCGAAAGCTGAACGAGTGGATAGAACTCCCCAAACGAAAATTAGCAAACGAGCATAACATCATTACATTGCCACGCCGCTGTCTGCACAACCTCCCTTCTCCTCCCCAGGAGGGGGAAGGGGAAGCCTCAGACCCTCGCACAGGCAATCCAACTGGCAGTTCTTAGCTGGATGTCAAAAACAGGTGAACACACCGCTGACTGGAGGGAGGGAGGGATGCCAAAAAGCCTCCGGGTCTCACCCACAAAATGGCATTTCATTACACTCAATGCTGGTTTTCTGGGAAAAGCCCTGTTGGCTCCCCAGAGCTAACTACCCAAAGACAAGGAAAAATACAGGGACTTACCTGGGAGGCGGTCAGTCCTCACTCCTCAACGCAAAGTCGAAACAACTGACTGCAACCGGCGACCCAGCGCAATGCATGATCTACCAGGTCCAGGGACATTGACAAGGTAGCGAGCGGCCAGGACCCTGTTCGACTTCCAAAAACCCCGGGCCCGAATGTCAACCGAAGACATGTTGCCAAAGACGGCAGCCAAAGCAGCAAACTTACGAATGCCGTGGGCACGGGGATAGACTGCAGGCTGGCTAGACTTAATAACCCTGCGGACGACCAGGGAGATCCGAGCCTATGAACAGGGAAGGAGGGAAACAGAGTCAGTCCATAGCGTATCCCCAGCCACCGAAGCCGTGGCGCGCAAATAACGGCGGAAAGCTGCAACCGAACACAACACATGATGCACCCCAACCTGATCAACCAAGCATCAACAGCCCAAGGCCCCCTCCAGAACTCAGCAGTCTCATTCTTCACCGGAAAAGGAGACGGCTGCAAATGAACAAACCTACCACCAGGACCAAAGGAGCAGAATCCCCTGCGCCAGAGGAGAGCATGAAACTCCCCAACCCGATCCGACCCCCAGAGGCCAATGCCAACAGGAAAAGGAACTTAGAAAAACAACCCTGAACCGAGGGGGCCACTACAAATCGATGAGGAGAGAGAGAAGAGAGCACCCGGTCCAAAGACCAGAATGGCTCAGGAGGGGCATGAGCAGGCCGGAGGTGAAACAACGCATGAGAGAGCTTGTGGAACAGGGCAGAAGTAACATCAATACCGAACGCAAGCTGGAGCAGCTCTGCCAGCGCCACATGATACGAGGTAACATTCGGCATAAGCTGACTGTCCTGGAACAACCAGAAAGGAAGGACAAGACAACCATATCAGAGACTGAAGTACACCTACACAAATGACCTTCCAGAGGGTATAGACTCATTCCTCTCAATGTTTGCTGATGATGCAAAAATTATGAGAAGAATCAAGACAAAAGAAGATAAACAGAGACTACAGGACGACTTGGACAAACTGGTGGAATGGTCTAGAAAATGGCTACTAAAGTTCAACTCAGGAAAGTGTAAAGTAATGAAATTAGGCAAAGGGAGCAGAAGGCCAAACACAATGTACCATCTGGGAGGTGATATCCTGCAAGAGTCAAATAGAGAGAAAAATCTAGGGGTTGATATCACACCAAATCTGTCGCCCAGAGGCCCACATCAAAAGGATATCATCAGTGGCTTATGCTAGACTGGCAAACATAAGAACTGCCTTTAGAAACTTGTGTAAGGAATCGTTCAGGGCCTTGTATACCATGCATATAAGACCAATCCTGGAGTATGCAGCTTCAGCCTGGAGTTCATACCTAGTTAAACACAAGACAAAGTTAGAGAAGATTCAATGGTATGCCACCAGACTCATCCCGGAACTGAGAGGTATGAGCTACGAGGAAAGGCTAAGGGAGCTGAATCTCACATCCCTGGAAAACAAAAGAGTAAGGGAAGATATGATAACCACCTACAAAATTCTCAGGGTGATTGACAGGGTAGACAAAGACAAACTCTTCAGCGCGGGTGGAACACAAACAAGGGGACACAGGTGGAAACTTAGTACCCAGATGAGCTACAGAGACATTAGAAAGAATTTTTTCAGTGTCAAAGTAGTTAACAAATGGAATGCACTAGGCAGTGATGTGGTGGAGGCTGACTCCATACACAGTTTCAAATGTAGATATGATAGAGCCCAGTAGGCTCAGGAGCCTGTACACCAGTTGACTGACCGTTGAGAGGTAGGCCCAAAGAGACAAAGCTCAACCTCCGCAAGCACAACTAAGTAGGCCCAAAGAGACAAAGCTCAACCTGCGCAAGCACAACTAATTAAGTACAACTAGATAAGTTCCTATGCAGTGATAGGAAAAACTGGAAGGATCGCCAGGAAACTTCATACTGCTACCGAGACGAAGCATGCAAGTGGAAGACCATCAACGAAGCCACCTGCGCCCCATACAAGTGATGATAGACTCGAGTCAGAAACTCCAGACGCGAAGACTCGAGGAGGAGAACGAACAAGCCTCGTACTAGGCTGGACCGATCTGCTGAAAGAGGCGGAGCCGCGGGAAGACCCTCATGTTCGGACACCAAGCAAGCAGCGCCTGAAATCAAGGCTGGGCCGGCCACTAAGGAGCCAGAAGGACAACTCTTCCCTGGTAAGTCTCCAAGTGGGCCAGGACCTGGAGCAACAGCTGAACCGGGGAAAAGAGGTACAGGTAACTCCATCTTGCCCAGTCCTGCCTAAAGGCGTCGACCCCGACGGCCTCACAGTCAGGGAAGGGCACCACATATACTGTACCAGGAGACGCCTCTACCACGCCGACACGAAGAGATCCACTTCCGGAGGCCCAAACATCTGGCAGAGCCAACTGAATGAGTTGGCATTGACTGTCCATTCTGTGGACAGGGGAATGAACCGGGACAGACCGTCCACCAGGACATTGGACACCTCCCAAACGTGAACTGCCGGGAAAGCCAAACCCCGAGAACTCAGTAGACGAGTCACCCAAAGCAACCAGCCCCAACGAGCCAAGGACCGCATGGAACCCCCTCGGTTCAGGCAATGAAACCCAAATCCTCTGGAGCGACCTCCACACAGCCGCGAACTCCCGCACCGTGCTGTGAGCCCGACGGAAAGTCGAACCCTGCCGTCCCTGTCCGGTCTGGTGAGCACTGGTCACAAAGCCCAAGCCAAGAGACTGCATCCTTGAACACATCGAGTGAGGGCTCGGGTAGATGCCAAGGCACTGAACCCCGAAGAACCCTGAGGAGAAAGCTGGTGACACAGCAACAGACTCAAAGCCCCTGGAGGCCGAACCCAGCAGTCGCGAGAGAGGTGGAAGGGACGTCCCCGAAGGAACTAGAGCAGCCGATAAAACCACACCCGACCCGGCGGGTAGACCATTACGGCAAAGTTCAGGCTCCCGCACAAACACTCAAGCAACTGCTGCATGACCCAGGAGCCCCACAGGAACAGATGAAGGCAGGAATGCAGGCAAAGCAGAGCTGCGAGACCCGGGAGCCCCTCACGAACAGACGAAGGCAGGAACGCAGGTGAAGCAGAGCCGCTGGAGGAAGAGACAAGGAAGTGGTCCGAGCATCCCACACAAGACCCAACCAAGACCAAACCTGAAAGGGAACCAGATGGGACTTCCGCCAGTTCACCAGGAACCCGAACCCGGCAAACTGGGAAAGAACCAAATCCCTATCAAGCAGACATGCGGACTGGCTGGGAGCCCAAACCAGCCAGTTGTCGAGGTAGGCCAGAACCCGAACACCTAACAGATGCAGGCGGGCCACTATGACCCAAGTAAGGCATGTGAAAATGCAAGACACCAGATTCAAACTGAATGGAAGGCAACGAAAGCGGTAACCTTGACACCCCACAACCAAACCGAGCCAGTCCCTGAACCTCGGATGAATCGGGACGTGCCAATATGCATCTTTGAGGTCCAGGGACACCATTCAAGCGCCCGGCTCCAACAGAAGACAGACCTGGGACAGGGTAGCCATCTGAAAGGAGGGGCAATAAACTCACAGGGATGGGACAAGTCCAGAATGAACCAGAGATCAGCGCAGTCCCGTTTTGGGACCGGAAACAGGTGGGAAACTCACCTGAGAGACGAGGTCATTTTGACCACACCCAAGCAAACACCCTCTGAGATGACTCGACAGAGTGCAAGAGAAGAGGCCTGCCCCACCAGCCCCGAACCCCCAAAAGGAGAAGGAGCCACCCAACACGACCACAGGCTGCCCGAAATGCCCACAAATCGTGGGACCAGGCGCGAGCACACAGAGCGAGTTTCTTCCCCATCGCCCCATCAATGGGACGAACCGCGGAAAGGCTGATGCACCTTACGAGAACCTAAGTGGTGCACAGGGGCCTGGTAGCCTGGTGGATAGCGCGCAGGACTCGTAATTCTGTGGCGCAGGTTCGATTCCCGCACCAGGCAGAAACAAATGGGCAAAGTTTCTTTCACCCTGAATGCCGCTGTTACCTAGCAGTAAATAGGTACCTGGGAGTTAGTCAGCTGTCACGGGCTGCTTCCTGGGGGTGTGTGTGGTGTGGAAAAAAAATTGTTAATAAACAGTTGATTGACAGTTGAGAGGCGGGCGGAAAGAGCAAAGCTCAGCCCCCGCAAACACAACTAGGTGAATACAACTAAGTGAATACAGGACGATCCCCGCACCGACCAGAAAAAGATGGAACCGAAGGCTGCACCTGCCCCGAATCTGGCACCACTGTCCTACCACGACGGGAAGAACCCTGAGCCCTGGCACAATCCTTCCAGGAAGGTCCCCCACGAGCTCCTTGGAGGACTAACAAGTCCGACATAGGAAGACAACCCCTCCCCAACTAGCAGAAGCTGCCTGCGGATACTGCACAACTGCAGACTCTGCAAAGAGCAATGGACAAAAAGGTGAAGACAACCTAAGATCCAGGAGCCAAGAGGATTCCAAGGAAGAAATAAGCACCTCTTGCCCACACGCGAGTCGAGAAGCAAAAAAACGTGAAACCGCAGCCCGCAGGAGCGGCGCGAACAGCTTTAACAATGCAGACAATGCACGCACTGCTGAGGGCAGCGCAGTAGGGCCAGAGGCAGCCCTAAGCTCCTCCACATCCAACTCAAGCCGGGCAGCGCACTAGGGCCAGAGGCGGCCCTAAGCTCCTCCACATCCAACTCAAGCCAATCTCAGGACAGCTTGAGGAGGGAGAAGAAATGCAGGGCTGAAGCCAGCAGACCACGTGTACGCAAATCCTCCGCGACCAAGACAGCCGAAATGGAAGGAACCTACACATGAAGCTGCATCACACTAACATTCCACAGAAGGGCAGGGGCAAACATGCATTGAAATGTTCAAATCCATCATCCCCCCCTCCCGGGAAAACCTACAATGCCGTCCGAGCCTCCCTCCACTCAAGCACGCGGGATTGACAGAACGTATGCCAAGCCTCCAACAGGAAGAATGGGCAGTTTGCTAACCAGGATGACTCTAGAACTTCGTAACGAACCCAGTACGGACACGAAGATCCATACACGAAGAAATGAGGATCCATCATGAAAGCATAATCTGGGTCGCGCAGGAGGTAAGCTACAAGGGCTTTCTGCACCACATGTGACGGGATGCGGGAAGCCGAAAACCTATGGAAGGACGGGATCGAGAAACCCACAGGATCATGGAACTGAACCCGGGGAGGGGTAGACGCCAAATCCAATTCGTACGAGGAGGGAGTGAAAGAGAGCCCCTCCCCTTGTAACACTAAGCCCCACTCCTAGAGTATGAAAACCCAGGCGGGGTCCAATGGGGCCCAAGGCCCCCAAGTCAACCCCCCCCCCCTGCCCTGGGAACCTCACCCTGAGAATCCAGGGCTGAGACGTCTTCCAATCCCCTTGCCTCTAAAAGAAAAAGCAGGAGCAGCTCAAAAAACAGGAACGAAGGGGGCCCACTGGTCAGACCCAGAAGCGCTGGCTGGAGGACTAGGCTCGAATGCATCTGCCGTCACCCTAGAAGGAGACGGGGGGAACCGGATGAACCACCGAAAGGACAAGGAGGGGCGGACAGAACCAAAGTCGAAGCAACTCCCACCCCCAAGTTCGTGTCCCTATAACCAAAATGGGGCAGTCTTGGGGCATCCAGGGAAGCAACGAACCTATCGGGTTACAGTAACCTAAACTGAGTATGCAACGCCTCTGCTATCTGCACTCTCATATTGTTCAGTAACTTGGGTGAACTGGAGCATGTACAAAGAACAAACTTCGCACGACTCCGGGTTAAAAGAATCACCAACCCAACAGTCAGCATGGCGGAGGCACAACCGGTGATTGTCACCCAGAGACAAGGGGACAGAGCAACCATTAATCTCACACAAAGCGAGAGGGGACTCAAGGGTTGCAGCCATCGGACCATGGAGCCCCCGCGGGGTTTCCCTGGGCCCTTAGCCTTGGTAACACGCTAAGGGAAGCCCAGACAGGGTACTGCGAACCAGCGCACAAAACTACTAAGTAAACTTTTAAATGCTGAACTCCTGGGACGTGTTCACTCACAGGGCCTAGCAGGGGGTACCACCAAAAACACAGATATGTCGATATAAAGAACCCCAAGTATAGATACGGGGCAACCAACCAAAGGCAGACCCCCCCACAAGGCAGGAAACAAAAACAAAAGAAAACCCCCGCAAGAGGACAACATACCCAGGCGGAACAGAGCCGGCCGCTATAATAGGTGATGACTAGCCGTGCAGTACCCTGCGCCCCTACCAGTGGCAAAAACTACCCCCTATACAGAGGCAAACAAGGGCAACAAAAACCCCAGCTGACTCCAAGGGCTGCCAAGTACGGAGCAGTAAAAGACACAGCAGAGGTAGATCCCAAGGCGAATTGTGGAAAGTAGCCTCAAGCCCCAAGGGCAGTATTTACAGGGCACCTAGGGAAGGAAACCCTAGGCGCATGCAGCCCAAGTACCGTAGAATATTACTCCTGGATCACACACCATCTATAGAGACAGACCACGCCACAAGACACAGTAACTGGAATCAAAACAGGAGCCACAGGCATATGTGGCTCCTGTTTCACATCAGTAAAGAACTGCTGGATCACCGGCACAAGGGTCTGAAGCTTCCCCTGCACTCTCCTGGGAAAGGGGGGGGGGGGGCACAGACAGCAGTGCGGTAACATAATGACGTCATGCTCGTTTGGTAATTTCGTTTAGGGCGTTCTGTCCACTTGTTTGGCTTTCGGTATCAATATTTTCACTAGAATAGGGGGGTTTGTTTTGAGGCGCCTATCTTTGTGGGTGCCAGACCCGGTCGATGACAGACAGAATGCTCCCAACCACACGGGGGTTTCTATAGACCATTGCTCCTCGTGCCTCTCTGAGGGGGCCAGGTTCTGGCTTGTGGTCCCCGGTAGACAAGAACTCCATGCACTTTGACTGATGCCAGAAAGCTAATAGTTAAAAATCAGCCTGGATAGCTCTGGGAAACCGACGGGGCTTCCCCCAGAAAAAGAGCTTTACTTTTAAGCACCGTACTGCGCCGAGTTTATTGTGAAATTCCCCCTGTGCGCATGAAATAAAGTGTTCCCAAAAAACTTTTTTTCTTCGTAAAATGATAGATTCCCTTCCCTGAACATGTCTATGTAAAAATAAATACCAAATTCCACTTACTTAGGCTGTGGGGATGTGGACAAGGGGCGCTGTGACGTCATCAGGGGCTATCTTCTTCTTCTTGAGGTTATCTTGAGATGATTTCGGGGCTTTAGTGTCCCCGTGGCCCGGTCCTCGACCAGACCTCCACCCCCAGGAAGCAGCCCGTGACAGCTGACTAACAACCAGGTACCTAATTTACTGCTAGGTAACAGGGGCATAGGGTGAAAGAAACTCTGCCCATTGTTTCTCGCAGGCGCCCGGGATCGACCCCAGGACCACAGGATCACAAGTCCAGCGTGCTCTCCGCTCGGCCGATCGGCTCCCGGCTGGTCGCCCGTGTGTGACACGCCCAGACATGGTTGAGCGGGCCATTCATGCACCGGGTGTTGCCACAAATATATTTTCAATTATTTGTTCTATGTATTTCCAATGCGGTTTTATTTGTTTTTTTATCGTATATGATGCATATTTGTGTCCTTTACAATATGTATACAGTAGAACGTTCATAATGTTCCATGGCCCTGTGATACATGTGTCAGTAATGTGTCCACAATAAATGTTTATTGTTGCAATATTACTTGTTAAAAATTCATTAAAATTACAATATGTACAGTTTCACACACTATTTACACAGTAACACACTGTATTACACACTCAGTACTTCGGAAGTGAGTAATAGTCAACGAAGTAGTCCATGGTACACAACGCGACTTCGCTCTCGTTGCACCAGGTACAGATAGATTATATTATTCGCTTCCTGTTTCTTCATTCTGTGTGCTTGCAAATAACGCACTCATGTACACCCTTGGCATTAGTACCTGTAGGTGGTATGTACCCAAGCTTGTAAAACGTAAGGTAGTCTTGAAAAGATTACAGGAAAAGATCAATTTGTAAGGTAGTCGTGAAAAGATCGCTTTGTACGGTCTCACACAGGAAGAGATTCAGCCAGCCTCAAAGAGGGTCCCTCAGTCAAGAAGAGATTCAGCTATTCTTGAAAATATCTATGGAAAACACCACCATGGAAGCCGCTAACACTGTTCATCTATGCTACTTGTATCAGATGCATCATCACTGAATGGAGAAAATGATTCATCTATGTATCATTTATATAAATTGGAGATGGCATAGGTGGGCAAGGGTGGCGCTCAGAGTTACAACTGGATACGCCTGCTGTATCGTCATCATAGGTGCTGTATCACTTGCATCCGACCTTTGTGTTAAGTCCTTATTGCGCCTAGCTTCACCAATATCATGACCCCTTATGTTCTTCAAACAATAAGGTTTGAATTTCACCGACAGAGAGCGATTTTTCAATACCGCATTGGACAGGTGTTTGGGAGCCATAGGTGCGTACGCCATCCATGGTTGCTCACTCAGTACTAACCCAGCCAGCAGCCCTAGGGCATTCTGGGAATTTTTTCCAAGATGGCTACCTCTCACTGGAGGTCCTAAGAGTCCATTTCGTATACAACCAACCTCGCACACAGCCTTAGAATGGGTACGAAAAAATAAAAGTTTTCTCGGTTGGCGCATTTAAGTGGTTAATATATGTACAATACATTATAACGAGACTGTAAGAAAAGGTTTATCATCATAGTTATAATAGCAACTCTGAAGAGTACACATACTTACCCGCACAACGTCAAGGGGAGTCGATGCAACTGCACCTCCCAGGCTCGATATGAAGCTCGACCTGTCATGAGAAAAGGACAACATTTACTTAACGCTCAAGAACCCACTTCAACTCCTCCGCTCCAGTGAAAATATTGGTTTTATTTGGTATTTTCCTTCCCTTTTCCCCTTTTTCCTTTTTAAACATGAGCTTTCCAAATTGTCACTATATACGTACTTTGCTTAATAGTACCAGATAACGTCTCACTGTCTGATCCCAAAAGTAAACAAAACTGTGCTCGAAGCATGCATCACAATATGAGTAGTAGAGTGAGTGACGTTCCTTTGACAACATGCTCTTTAACACAATACATATTTCAATATTTGTAAGTCATATATATAAGGCTGTTAATGTATAATTCATGTGTGGTTTTATTTATGAGCTCCATGCAATGTGGTAAAGCACACATTTCCCAAAACTAAAATAAATTAAGAGCATTTGCAAATAAGTTTAAATGCATCAGCCAGTGAGATGTTTGCTCTAACAAATCAATTAAAATATTACAACCTTAAGAGTTTCCATATTTTTAAAAGTTACTCATTATGAAAATGTAATGAAATGAAGAATTACGAAGAAACAGAAAAGTATAGGAGATGAATAGGTACTAAGCTACAACATATTGCAGTGCTTCTAACATTATAAATCTTTAACTACAATAACCCTAAGACTTGAGAGAGGTGGTCTTATCAACACTTGCCTGCAATATGTACCATAGTCTGCCACTACATGATATTCTTAAAAGGAATTAAACATTTTCAATTCATAATTATTTCAAGTGGACCAAGGTATAATTTCACACACAAGCAATACAAAACTTTAATTTATTAGTAAAAAGACAGTTTTAAAGAGCAAGAAACTGTATAGAGAGGATGAGTACGAGATGGTGGTTAGTAGAAGGTGAATAGGGAATATTAAAGGTGATTATGAAGATGGTGATCATGAAGATGGTGAGGCACTAAAGATGAAGATGGTACAATACAGGTTCTCAACGTTACATGGGACAAGTGACTCCCGAGAATCATGGCGGTTCCTCAGCTAAGGGCCCCACAGTCCCTCCGGGACTGGGGACCCGTGCCGGGTAAGTGGTTTGGGACCGGGGTTTTGGGATCCGTTGCCAGGTCCCGAAGGACCCTTGATTCATCCCGGACATGCGTTTGCGAAACATCTGGAATGGACACACGTGAAACTATGTGGTGGTCGCCACAGACGTACCACCAGGAAAGGATACTAGTCGACACATTAATGTAGTTAATTACAGTACAGTGTTTACATATCTGCCATAACTATGATTTAGTCTAAAACTCTAGTTTTACATTAACGAGTTACCAATTAAATTAGCTAGCCTAACTATTTCCCTTCCTCACTATCTGAAAAGCATCATTCATTCATTCTTACACACTATGAGATGAAAATTATTAATCAAATGTTAGCATGCAGATTTTTGCAACAGGTCAAATTTTGTTTTAGAATCAGATGCTTCATAAAGTTTCTAATCTGACTAACAATAAGACACTCTATATTGACACTGGTAGACGTAATTAATGCTGCAATACTGTAAAGCATCTCGAGGACATTAATGTGGAGTTGTATACAACACTTCCTAGTGCATGAAATACAAATAATAATTTGATGTGAAGAATGTCACTTATCACCTAAACTTTACTGATGACTAGAAAAACCAGTCTAGACCTGTTTACATGGTACTTGTAGTAATAATGTGGACCATTGTATATGTATGTATGTATGTATGTATGTGTATGTATATATATATATATATATATATATATATATATATATATATATATATATATATATATATATATATATATATATATATATATATATATATATATATATATATATATATATATATATATATATATATATATATATATATATATATATATATATATATATATATATATATATATATATATATATATATATATATATATATATATATATATATATATATATATATATATATATATATATATATATATATATATATATATATATATATATATATATATATATATATATATATATATATATATATATTTTTTATGTAATGGACAATTAGAAATTAGAATTTGGTACTATTGATTTTGGACAAACTGGAAAAGGTTTTGTATGTTGCTAATAAATCCTAACCTAACCTAAACATCCTAGGCTTAATACACGCTATCTAAGGCCTATTATAGTACATATATGTGCTATTCAAGGTCTTAGGAATATTTAAGCTTGGTATTTTAGCTTTATTTATTCAGGACTATAAACTGAATAACCAAATTCTACCGTCTAATTGTCCATTATATAAATATATATATGATGGTCCACATAATTATAAACAGGAGAATGGCTTGGAAAAAACAACCGTACAAATTTAAAAAATGGTGCTTTAATGTACACTAAAACTGTACATGAAAGAACACCAACAAAATTTTTTTTTAATTTTTAAATCAATAATTTCCCAAGACAGATGGACATTTTCTGCACAATGGGGACAACGTAACCCTTCGACTGTGCATGTCATAACACCAGCCAAGCAATAGGGCATGTAACATCCCAAGAAGTACACACACACACACACACACAGTAATCACACTAATGTGACTGCATCAATGAGAAAATCCCTAGGGATTTTCTCATTGATGAAGTGGTTGTGGTGTAGTCGCTAGAAGCGTGTGCGTGGGAATATCCACCGTATGGGTTCAGACCCTCATCACGGCTCCTACTGATTTTCTCAAGCAAAGAGAGTTTAGGTACCTTGCAATAATTGAAATTCCTGCTGATACACAGTGCTCCTGATCAGTATTTAAGACCTCCAGTAAACATCTGCCATCTTGAAAAGTGCAATGATTTTTTTGGACATTTATCCTATACTCAGGTATAGTTTTAATATAGAAAGACAAAACTTATTATTCATTTTTTGCTCGATTTATCATAAGTGCATTTCAAGGGTTAAATGTGTTAATATGTTTGATCACATTTGTGTATGGGAGATGCCAAAGAATGTTCATTCCATCCCTGAATAACAGAGAAGATTTTTAGCTACATAATACTGTACTCAAACCGCCCTCACAGTGGTACTCGACATCATAAAGACTGCCAGCAGCATCCTGATAATTGCTAGCTAACCTCTCCAAACTCTACCATTAACTGAGACCAACAACCAAAACTGTATAATACTGCATCACTTGTGTGTGAAGCTCGGCAAGGTATGGTGATTATCAGACAAAATGAAAGACAAGGTAATTCTGACGACACAATGTCAAGCCAATGTGACTTTAAAGCACTTGAAGGGATATAAGGACTGAGTAAAAGAACGGTGTCCAACCATTTGGATCATCAGGCTGACCCTATGCTGTGTATTTTGTAACAACACAAAAGCACAGGATTTTCTTGCACACCAGCATCGATCATTTGGGTTAGAACTGTGATGTGCTTCAGGGTTCATACCAAATAAATTATTTGTCTTTATAAAAGTACGACCCAAATTAAAACTAAAGAATGACAAGTGGGTACAAGTTTAATAACCAGTACCCACTTAAAGTACTGGTGCAAGAAGTACTGGTTTATTAAAACACGAGGATGCACATATAAACATTACAAAAAGTGCTAAGAAAAATAAGATACTGTACTTCTAAACTTAGTGGGAAAGTAGATTGCAGAAATATGGTGAGAAAAAGTTGCTGCCAGTCGAGGGTAACCAGCAACCCACATGATGGAGAATTGTGCGTAGGTAGTGCAGAAAAGCATAATACCTCGGAGTTTGGATGACGTCGTGTGTGCCACAATAAACAGACACAAATGAGAGACATAAACACAATTACTACAGAGGAACTCGCATCTCATCCCACTTAAATGCTGCAACAGGAAATTTTACAAGGAAAAGGTACATTGCAGCTGATCTCTTGACCCCGTGACAAGACAAACTTGGCCTTAGGCCGGGCTTGAGGAGTACAACTATTGGAACTGTGTCTCGGAACTTTGCCCGAAATGGTGTGCGTATCAGTGGCTTTAGGCAAAGTATATACTGTACTAGGTCTATCTAGAAATCCAACACTCTGTTTGTAACTCATTTTGAATGTATGTAGTTTTACCTGATTAAACATTATTATTATTATTAACTGTGGGTAAACTTTAAAATAAACATGAATGCCTGAATAGTAATGAATGACACCCATTAAGTTTCAGACCCGTCTACAGTACCCTCAAATGTTAAGATAACTGTAGCTGTGTGTTGATACATTTTTCACATACACAGCATAGGCAATGACAATGTAATTAGTTCAAACAAGCCATAGGATAAAGATGGCTAATGAACATTATTAATGACACGTGCAGCATACCTTCAATGTACCATGTCCTAGAAACACAGCATCACGTGAAATATACCAAATATATCATGCCATAAATAAGAAAATTAAAATAAATAAAAAAATTAATATACCTTCACATTAAATGCAGTAAAGATGCTCTACGTAACTAATTAGTACCAGTGTCCATATAAGTCTTCAATACATTTTGTAGTGCCTAACTCTGCAGGTTGCCCTACACAAAAACACCTGTACTATAACACCACAAAAGGTACAGAACGTGCTGAGTGACCTACAGGAAATGGTTCGTGGCATTGTCAGGCAGCAAGTTCATCTTTATAAAATAATGTTTGCACATGTCGTAAATTGGTAGCTCCACACCTACGATCACACCTGCTCTTTGAGCAGTTGGACACACTCCCTGAAGAAAAAGTTATCTGTTAAACACTTCTAAATTAACCTTTTATGTTATGCACTAATAAAGAGTTACATACTTTATATAGAACAGTATATATGCAAAGATTAAGTCACAATAGCATGGCAGAAACAAATAACCAACCCCACAACCATAAAAATAAAAGTGATTGCATTTTGTCCCATCCTGGAACTTCAACATCATAACTTTATTTATATCTCCATTAACATTCATTATTAAAAAAAAAGAAAAAAAAACCGGCGTTGAATGTAATGAAATGTCATTTTCTGGGCAAGTCCCAGAGGCTTCCAGGAGCTTACCGGGCTGATATGTATGTATTAGACTGGCATCAGTCAATTCGATTGGAGTTCTTGCCTACAGGGGACCACGAGCAAGAACCTGGCCCCCTCAGAGAGGCACGAGGAGCAATGGCCCTATAGAAACCTCCATGTGGTTGGAAGCATTCCATGTTTGCCATCGACCTGGAAACTTCATACTGCCGCCGAGACGAAACACGCAGGTGGAACACCATCAATGAAGCCACCTGATCACCATACAAGTGGAGATAGACCCGCATCAGAAGAGCCACATAAAGGACTGGACCTATCCGCTGGAAGTGGCAGAGCTGTAGAAAAGTCCCTGGGTTCGAACACCCAGCAAGCAGCGCCAGAAACCAAGGCTGGGCCAGCCATCAAGGGGCCAACAGGACAACTCTCCCCTGGTAAGTCTCCAACCAAGCCAGAACCCGAAGTAACAGAGGAACCGGGGAAAAGAGGGAAATGTAACCCCACCTCGAGCAGTCCTGCCAAAAGGCATTGAACCCGATGGCCTCACAGTTGGTGAAGGGCACCACTTATACCGGGAGACTCCTCGACCATGCCGATGCGAAGAGGTCCACCTCCAGGTGTCTGTACATCCGGCAGAGCCAACTGAACGAGTCGGCATTGACTGTCCATTCCAGGGAAAGGGGAATGAACTGGCACAGGCTGTCCGCTAAGACGTTGGACACCCCACCTGGATGTGAACCGCTAGGAGAGCCAAACTCAGCAGACGAATCACCCGAAGCAACCAGCTCCAAACAGTAAGGATTACATCAAATCCCCCTTGGTTTAGGCAATGAACCACCAGGGTGCAGTCTGAATGGAGCCAGATCGTTGATCCACGAGTGATATGAACCCTCTGAAGTGACAGCCACACTGCCACGAACTCCCACACTGTGCTATGTGCCTGATGGAAAGACAGACCCCACTGATCCTGACTGGCCTGGTAAGCACTGGTCACAAAACCCCAGCCAAGAGACGATGCCAGCAGTGTACACATAGAGCGAGGGCTTAGGTAGGCGCCACGGTACTGAACCCAGAAAAATCCAAAGAGAAAGCCGGCGATGCAGCAGCCGATGCAAGGCCCCGGAGGCAAAACCCAACAAACAACAGCAGGGAAAGGACGAGGGAGTGCTGACGAAACCAAAGTCGAAGCGACTAACGCCCCCAAGTCCGAGTCCCTATAGCCAAAGCAGGGCAGCTGCAGGGCATCCGGAAAGGTAACCAGCCTAGCGTGTTGCAGCAACCGAAACCTTGCATTCAAAGCAGAAGCTTTGAATGCTTACCTGATTATCAGTATCAGTGGACTGGGTGAACTGGAGCACCAGCAAGGAACACCACTCGCAGGGCTCCGGATCAAAGGTGTCATCGACCCAACAGGCAGCCTGAGGCAAAATTAGTGAATGTCACCCTGAGACAACGGGACAGAGCAACCTTTGAACTCGCATAAGGCGAGATGGGACCCAGAGGATGCATCTATTGGACCAATGTGCCCCAGTGGGGTTCTCCAGGGCCCTTAGGCTGACTGCTAAGGGAAGCCCAGGCAAGGCACTGCTAACCGGTTGGCCCAAACTACTGAGAGAACAATTAAACCTGAACCCCTGCGACGTATACAATCACGGACCTAGTGGGCGACCACAAGAATAACAGAGGGTCCAAGTGGCAGACTGCCCCCCCCTCCCACCACCAGGTAACAAACAAAAAGAAAAGAAAAACCCTGCAAAAGTACAACATCTCCAGGAGAAACAGAACATGCTACTGTGATAATAGGTGACAAGCTGCACAGTACCTGAGATACGACTTCCTACCCAAAGTCAAACAGCGGCTATGAAAACCCTGTAACACGGGGAGGGTTTCTCGAATTATCTTTCCTCCTTCTCCCCCTCTACCCGTATTCTTACTTTTTATTCTCTACCAAGGGACTCCAAAACTTTTACTAAAGCCGACTCCACGCCACGTGGTCCTAAGACGATTGACCGACTTAGGATTCTACAATCCGTATGACGTAACATAGACTTTGAGCAAAACCCTAGAGTCGCCTCCGCCGCCACCACCAGACCAGTAACACAGAGCAATGATCGAGGTCTGGATCGATCATGCTAATAAATCAACCTTGGGGCTTGATCCCCACTATAACCGATGACCTTGAGAGTGGAATAAATTACACGGTAAAGATGACGTCCGATTTGGTGTTAGAATCGGCGCCCAATTCAATTCTGCCTCGTAGGGACCACGTGACCAGGACAAATTCATCTAAATAGAACATACATATGGAAATAATAAAAATGCAATTTATTAACTAATTAATTTATTAAAAGAAAAACTAAAACAAAATCTAAAGATGTTCACTCCCTACTTGACCTGAACGGCAATGAGTTGACTATCCCTATAAAACTCATAAAGCAACTCTACCTTGGGCGACTAGCTCAGATGTTGGGGGCTGGTCTTGGGGGAGGTAAGATGGTTGACCTCTCCCAGTTGATCTCGCGTCCACACTGATCTCTCCTCGTCTGGTCTTCCCCAGACTAGAGCATTGTATCCTTCCGCATAGTCTAAGTTTTACCAAGTTACTTAGCAAGGTTTAAGTTATAACAATTAACCTCTGTTGTACTTAATTGATCCAGACTGGTTGAATTATTTTACTGAAGTTAAATTACACAAGCATCTAACGGCAGAGCTGTTCCCGTTCCCCAAAATGGTTATTTGAACTTTGAGAAATAGTGGACATGTCAACTCTGATGACCTATGACCGCCGGTCACTCGCGCCTTACAACTTAGATCTGATTCGTGACGTCACTGATGGTGACTTAACTCAAATCTCCTAATAATTAGAATACTCTTGGTACTATAACCAGGAATATTATACAATACAATTTTAATACAAAATGAATAAAGGCTAATTTCTCTAAATTACTGAATACTATAGGATGATTCATTATACGCAACTATGAACAGAGACGCCCGCCATTTGTGACTCAGACCTGCTAATCCCCAGAGGAATGTGCGTTGTTGAGGTCAGGTCCCTACACGAAACTTCTGGAACCTTCTGGAATAATTCTTACAACAGCCTAGTTTGTTACAACCCCAGTTGACTTCAAGGGCGGGCAATCACCGAGTAGCAAAAGATCCCTACGGAGGTAATTCCCGAACAACTTGTGGAAGATAACCCCAAGCCGCAAGGGCAGTTCTTACAGGGCACCTAGGGAAGATGGCCCTAGGCGCATGTGGCCCCAGTACAGTACTCAGTGTACTACTGGCTCACACACCACCACATAGAAGAACAACACCGCAAAGGCACAGCACTGTTCAGAGACAGGAGCTAGAGTTGAACGACCGCCACTCAGCACATCAGCCTCAGAACTGGAGTTGGATGGCTGGCACGAGGGGTCTGGGGTTCCCCTTTCCCCCTCCCAGGGAGGGGGAAGCTGCGCAGACAGCAGCGCGGCGGTGGTTGTGAAGTCGTTACTTGTTTGCTTGTTTTTGGATTGGGGAATTCTGCTTGATAGTTCGGCTTTCGATAACAATTTTGAACCAGGTGGAGTCTGTTTTGGGATGCCTACTTTCCTGGGTGTCTAACTCGGTCGATGCTTCTATATACAGTATAGCAACACTGAATGCTTCCAACCACATGGAGGTTTCTATAGGCCATTGCTCCTTGTGCCTCTCTGAGGGGGGGCCAGGTTCTGGCTCATGGTAGCCAGAACATGGTAGGTAGGAACCTGGTAATCCCCGGAAAGCATTAGAATTGCAATCGAATTGACTGATGCCACGGTCTAATACATACATATCAGCCCTGTAAGCTCCAGGAAGCCGGAGGGACCCCACCACAGAAAACTGTATATACAATGAATGTACACCAAATTTACTAAAATATAGCTTACCCTCCATAGACCCTGAATACCTTCTTGGTGGTAAATACTGAGAAACGCTTGAAGAAGGCTTTTCTCCTTGAATTCTGCACGTCCACTCTGTAACCGCACCTTCAGCACATCTGTAGGGTTTGCCATCGCACTAGCCACCACCCCTGAGTTTAAAGATACAGATAGGAATAGACTACAAATGGGCACATAACACAAGCACAGTAAATTCCAAGTGGTTGAGTAATACAAGCACCAAACTATATCTAAAACAAGAAATTTATAATAAGTAGGAAACAAGTTTCAGTAATGAAGCCCAAGTGACCAATATTTTAAGAGCACTGTAGAATACAGGAAAACCTGTATTCTACAGTAAATATACAGTAAGTCTGAAAACTTTCTGTATATTTGTACAAAATCAAGTATTACATGCAGGGTTGTTTGAATCTTGCCATTGTATCTTCTTGAGATGGTTATCTTGAGATGATTTCGGGGCTTTTTTAGTGTCCCCGCGGCCCGGTCCTCGACCAGGCCTCCAACCCCAGGAAGCAGCCCGTGACAGCTGACTAACACCCAGGTACCTATTTTACTGCTAGGTAACAGGGGCATAGGGTGAAAGAAACTCTGCCCATTGTTTCTCGCCGGCGCCTGGGATCGAACCCGGGACCACAGGATCACAAGTACAGCGTGCTGTCCGCTCGGCCGACCGGCTCCCTGGTTGTATGGTTCTATATCTTGACAAGTTTGTGACACGTCTCCATGTTAGTATGCATACAAGGGATTAGTATTTAAAATGGGACGCTTTATGTATATTGCGAGTGGTGCAATTTGTGGTGTGTTATGGGACATGAGGGTACGAGATCCCGGACAATTGAAGGATTGGTCATTGCATATGTCCGAATTATGTTACATAGTAAATAATATTTTTACATGCCAACAAATTTATTGTATAAAAATACTGTACTGTACAACTAAAAAAAAAAAAAAAATTCAATGGCCTAAATTTGAGTCTAGAAGAGAGAGCTGTAATAATGATTAAAGTTGAAGGCATAGTGGAATCCATGATCATGAAATTAGACCTGTGGTCCAAACGTGTGGAGAGCGGTGTGTTTGAATACTTTCTGACACAGACTTCCTTGCAGCATCTGAGGATGACCTCTCTCTCTCTCTCTCTCTCTCTCTCTCTCTCTCAAGAAGTAACGAACCTTTTCATTCAGCACTTGCAAGGTTTCAACAACAGTTTTAGGGAATATTTTCCTCCTCCCAATGCCAATAAGTGTATTTGGGATCCATTGTATGTAGATATAATTTTTTTGTAAATATTTAACAACAAAAAGAAGAAAATAATCTTGTTGAACTTTTGTGTGACATCACTGAGGTAGTTTCCTTCAGTACATCTTGTCAGACTTTGGTTGAATGTGAAAAATGAATTCCCAGAACTGGCACCCAAACCACTGAGATATTTAATACCATTCCTCACTACATGCTACATCACTACACTACTAAGAAACTACACTTCTCAGGAATCTGTACACAAGTTGATTGACAGTTGAGAGGCGGAACCAAAAAGCCAGAGCTCAACTCCCGCAAGCACAACTAGGTGAGTACTATGTGAACAGCTCTCCCAGCTATTTTATAAAATCAAAATACATAAAGAGGATGAATGTGGAACCTGATCAACCCTTAAAACTGTTTGGCACTGAACTTGAAGTCTGAAATATTGTTTCAACAAAGCAGCATCAACCATCTCATTTAACTTAATACTGCCATTTATTTAATTAGATACTCAATTATGTAGATATATTTTTAAGTTGAGATATATTTGTAGAGATATGTAGATATATTTTTAAGTTGTTAGTTAATAAACTCTGCTTCTTGACTAGACAGACCTTTCAAAAACTGGGCATGCATGGAAAAATTAATTATTAAATACAAGGGGTCCTTGCTGGTGAAAAGGTTAGGAACCACTGTTCTAAAAACATCATTAAATTCCTCACAGCCACATTTATCTCTGGGTCTTAATGCTCCTTTTCTCTCGTTGGCCTCATGTTTACCACTCAAATTTATACGTTAAAAATGTGACTTATTAATAAAAATTAAAGCATCATAAGACTGGCTTTTCTATGCATTGGCTTTGATGCATTAGGTGGGTTGCTTGGGTTCACATTCTTCTTGTTAGGCAAAGAATTACATTTTTAATTGAGAGAAAGGGATAATATAAAGCCTAAGTGTCAGTTTACCTGCAGTGACGGCACAGAACACATTGATGCCAAGTCTTTCTTCTTCGGGATTATTAACTAGCATCTGCTTGAGGGAATAATATAACCCAAACTTGATCGTTCCATATGTAGCTTGACGGAGTACAGCTGGTGCTATTCTGCAGGGAAAACATCAATAATGTTCAAACACCAGCTTGGTTAATATTATCTACAGCTTTCAGCCAACGTTCAAAACCTTAATCCTAAGATGAAACATTATCACTATTTTCTGGTGCATAAGACACCGATTTTAAGGATATTTTATGGAAACTTATGATTTTTAGTACGTTTCATCATTCATTTAAGTAAAATTACTTTCAAGTGGTTTTGTTGGGGAAAAGAAATGATTCTGTAATACAGTATAAACAAAATACAGTATTTAGTTGGTAATGGACAAAACATTTACTGTGCATCACATCTGCCAGAAAAATATGGTAATTAATCAATGAAAATATACTGTACTCTACTGATAAAGAAATTGGATTACCTTTAGTGCCAAAAACTAGATTTCAAGATGATAAAGTTTTTGACCATCTTTCTACCCAAGTGCCTTATGGCTTGATAAAGGCAGGACTTCTAAATGTAGTTACTGCATTTTCTGGAGGGCGGGACACTTATTTTTGTCCATCATTAATTCAATACACATTGTTTTCCCTAAAAAAAACTCTTGACACTGTATGATAAAACATTCTAAATTTGTTTCCTGGGGCGAGCCTCAGAAAATATGCTAGACACCTTTCCATTACTGTCCTCAGGCACATTAGTCATAGGCAGGGACCTGCTAGAACCTGTCCACTCACCTTCCCTCACAGAGGCACAGAGAGCAAGCCTTTGATATGGTCATCTTCACTGGGAGACAAACCAGAAAGATTTGAATACCAACAACTACATTTTACCATGAAAATGAAGTGCTGAAACAGCCAACAGACACCACAAAATCACTCATAACAAAATGGTTTACCAGAAAGTTGATACAAAAAACACCTTGGTGCACAGAGCTGCCAACAGCTTTTGTTTCAGCTCCAAGCTGACATCGGCTCAGTTCTGTCACTGATGCGGCCTCGGTCAGTTTTTCCCAGTTGCCTGCCCAAGCGAGTCCAACTTGCTTACCTAGAGCATACCTGGAGAGGGTTCTGGGAGTTCTTTTACTTCCTGAGCCCGGCCTGGAGCCCAGTCTGAAGCCAGGCTAGACTAGTGATAACTTGGTCCACCAGGCTGTTGCTTGGAGTGGCCCGCAGCCCACATATCCACTACAGCTTAGTTGATCTGGCACTTCTTGCAAGAGGCACTTATCTAAGTGTCTCTCTTGAATACATTTACCTTTGTTCCGGCAGTATTTCTACTGCTTGCTGGGAGGGTGTTGAACAGCTGTGGACCTCTGATGGTCAGACAGTGGTCACTGTGCCTATGGCACCTCTACTCCTCAGTGGTTCTATTCTGCATTTTGAAGATAAGTGATGGCCTGTGATTTTAAAGATAAGTGATGGCCTGTAATTTTAAAGATAAGTGATGGCACGGCACAAGACAAAGTGACTTTGTCCTGTAAGAGCCATTTGCTTGTTTACTAATCCTAATCTTTCTTATTTGCTCATAAGCATATGTTTACAAACGTGACTTTTTGTGTGGCTGTGCTATGAACTGCAAAATTTTAAGGTGACCCTTCTCGAAGTGCTTGTTTAGTATTGCCCCGGCACTAACAGTTACTTCTCTGGTGTGTTTAAGAATTTGGCCCTGAAAGGCCTGGTGACTGGGGTGGAGAGCCTAGCCCTGGGTAGTATATTAGTTGTGGCTCCTGAAGGATACCCTACGATTGGGGGCATTCTGCTCGTTTACCTGTGGGGTGCATTAGGGTATGCATGCTTATTTATATAGCACTCCACTGATGCCCTTTGCAGCCATGTTTATACTTTAGGATGTGTTTGGAGTCAGTTCACCCAACCACTTGGACTGGATGGTCGAGTGGTGATCTTGCTTCTTGCAGATTGGCAGTCAGTCCCTGACCATCCAAGTGGTTGGGCACTATTCCTTTCCTCTGTGCACTCCTAAATCCTTATCCTTTCCAAGAGCTATATACAGTACTGTAGCAGTAATGACTTGGTACTTTCTCCTGATAGTTACCTTACCTTACCTTGGTGTCAGTTCTTCTGGAGTCTCTAGTGCTGGCTGTCCTGCTTGCTCAGTGACCTTTAGGTTCTGGCCCCTTCCTTGCAGGTCTACAGTGTTGCTTGTGATACTGTATATTGACACACAGAGCCCACACTGCTGGAATAAAGGTGGATGTATTCAAGAGGCACTTATCTAAGTTCTTGCAAAAAGTACCAGACCAACCAGGCTGTAGTTGGTATGTGGGCCTGCGGGCCACTCCAAGCAACGGCCTGTTGGACCAAGTTATCACAAGTCGAGCCTGGCCTTAGGCCGGGCTCGGGGAGTAGTAGAACTCCCTGAACCCTCTCCAGGTACGCTCCAGGTATACACTCACAATGTGCGAGTTTGAGGGGTGTCTGTTAGCATTGCTACATGTCGCCAGTCATGTACTCTGCCTCTGAATGCTGCCTGTTGGTTGGAAGTTACCCTCTGCCCTGAGACAGTGATGCTCCAGTTCACTAAATCTCTAATTTAGCTACAGCCTCTGTCTGTTATCTTTGTTTTTGTACTGTAGTGATGAGGCTCAACAGGCAGCTTGATGTCTGATGTATCTTCTGTTATGTCAGATTGCCACAGTTCAATGCTACCTGTGTGCCACCCATTCTTCTTCAGTGAACACACTTAATACAGTTTTCTTGGTCCCCATTCCATGGCAAATTTGTTCCAGGTCATCTACAGTGTAATTAACACTAGCCAGCCCTCAGGCCCACATTGTCTAAGTTTGTGGCTTTGGCTGCTGTCTTTCCTCTTAAGTACAGTAATTGGCTGTTTTTCAGACTCGAGGGTTTTGGAAATTAACTGGGTCTTGGCAGCTTGCTATCAAATAATTTTTCCTGGTTCTAGTTTGGCTTGTGCCAGACAGGAAAGCTATGGTCAGATTTCTCTTTCACATGTTTGTAGCTGCTGCCTAACCTCTTCCCTCGTAAGTCCCATGTCTTCCTTCTCTGTGGTTGGTTAGCCATATGGGAGCCTCCAAGGGGCTCCCCCAGAAAATCAGCATTGAATGTAATGAAATGCCGCTTTAGTAGTAGTAGTAGTAGAACTAGGGAGTAGAAGAACTCCCAGAAACCCATCAACCAGGTATCAAGTTGGAATGAAAACCCTGATCTCAAACCTCCGCTGCCTCGTGGCCATACCCACTTTTGGGATTCAGGAGTCAACCTCGAGGAAAAATCCAGAGCTGGAGTCCCTAAGGCAGTTCATTGTTGACTTTAACCTCGTTCTGGCAGTTCCTGTGACAGCACTGGAACCAAGCATATTGGCATTTGTCTTTTCATTAGACAATTTTAACATCATGGAGATGGGGATGGGGAAAGACCTGCTGCATGGGTAACAGCTTCTCCTCCATATCGACCTACCCAGACTTTGTGCCCTGGAGAGGATACTCCAGCCTTGGCAACCAGAGTGCAAGTCTATAGTCTCCCAAGACTGCATGATGCCTACGTACCTATTGTACATATTTAGACATTGGTTAGGTTAGTTGTTTAGGTTCTGTTGGTGATTACTGTATTTGTAGTATGTGGGTGAAGAATTTACAGTGTTGTGGTTCAAACAAAAGTCATCAGTTTCTCCAGAAGTGTTTGGACGTCATCAGTTGTGAGTCGTTTGTGAACAGTTTTTCATTCATAAACAGGGGGGGTTTGGTGGGTACATGGAATTTGGATTTGTTTTTAAGGATGGGCTGGCCAGGAGCATAAGTTCGTGGTCTATCAGCTTCAGAAGGAGTAGACGCCAGCTTGAAGCCAAGATGCCAACTTTTGACAGCTCTGTGCACTAGGAAGGGGGGGGGGGGAGGTCCTTTCCAAATTTTATTTAATCATTTTGTTAGTGATTCTTTTGTGGTGTCTATTTTGGTGCTTTGTTTTTATGAACCGTGAAGTTGTTTGTGTTATTGCTTTCCCACTGAGACTGATCATAACAATCCCCTGTTTTCTGTGCCTCTGTGAGGGAGGGGGCGGACAGGGTCTGGTTCTCATCCCCAGAAAGCCGACATCATGCCTCTGACTGTATAATGGAAAGCTAACTCGGTGAGATAGCTTCAGGAAGCCACCAAGAGTTGCCCAGAGAGAGGCATCTCATTACATTCAATGTTGTTGTTTTTTTTGCCCACAAAATATCCTTATAAAATTCATTAACCCATAATGGAGAGCCTCTAGAGTAAGCAAGTGATCGAATTCTTAGAAAATGTTTAGTGTTCATTTTGATTAATAAATAACATTAACATATTTGCTATGGTATAAAACCAGCAAATACAGTAAATGCATTTTTAAATATCATGAGCATGAAAAATTTATGAAGAATTCCACCACTTGCTTACTCTAAGAGGTCAATATATTGTAAATATTTTATTTGCTACAGTAACAAGGTCACTGGCACCTAACTGATCAATTGTAAGAACACTGTTGTTGTTGTTGTTGTTAAGCACAATATTGGTTTCAAGTGCAACTTAGTGAGTGGCAGGCAGGTAATTGGGAATGGTAAAAGATGGTAACATTGTACTGTACTCTACTCCAAACACAACTCTCTTATACAGTTCACATACCTCCGGGATAACTTTCTACATACCCAAAATAGAGTGCTCGGATCCCCTCCTCGTTAGATATCTTGAGAAGTGCATGGAGCATTCCACGATAGCGTTTTGTTATTACTTCCCCAGCGTCACATCGTCCACCCTGGATCTGTAGCCGTGTTTTGGTTGTGTCAATGGGAAACGTCCCTGTAAATGAGAGAATAGCAGTATAAGTAAAACTAGCAAGCAATGACAAATAAATAATAATAATAATAATAATAATAAAATGGAAGATATATAGAGGTACATATTACCATGGTTAATTAGTAGGTACAGTAACTATATACCAGTATTACATAAAGCCAATCATTACACAGCATTTTGGCCAAAACAAATTATTTGATGTGAATTTGCTCTTAAATTTATTGGGGCACAGTAACACTTAATGCTATGTGAAAAGTACAAGCTGACATGAATTTTTCTGCAGGTAGCTCCCCTTATGCTATATAATAATAATAATTATAATAATAATAATAATAATAATAATAATAATAATAATAATAATAATAATATATTCACAAGAAGGTACAACGGGTTGGTGATATTACATATGTCACGATAAAATCTCTAGGAAGAGATTTAGCTTGCTCCATCATCACCTATTCTACCCATATCAGATCTATATATATGCAAGTACTGCAGCCACAAGAACAACTACTACTATTTCCAGACGTCTAGACAGTATCTCCAGCCCCCTATACACCACTGCCCATCACCCCCACCTCGCACCTGGGTCGCTGGGAGCTCACCCCATCCGAAACAAACAGTTTAAGAGCCGGTTAATAGTTAAAGAAGTTACCAGCGCCATCTGCACAGCCGTTATCGTGTATATATAGGGCTGTAACGGGGGGTGGGGGAAATAGCTCTATCTTGTCCATTATTCCACCCCCCAGTTAACTAACGAGGCCGGGGGAAACAGCTCTCTCTAGTCCGTTATCCCGTCCCCAGTTAGCTAACTATTCTAGAGCACTCCCAGAGTTCCTAAGGCAGCCTCTCTCGTTCAACACCTTGTAACCTAGGTATTCGACTACCTAGGTGCTAAGACTACAAGGCGCCGTCACTTGATCAGCTACCCGAAACTCTAGAGAGAACTCTAGAATACAGAATCATTGCCACAAACGTATAAGAGAAAACGAGAGGAAAGAAATGAATAGTGAAGTAATTATTGAGGGTTTGGGGTGAGAGGTAGGGAGGTGGGAGGAGCGAGGAGGGTCAGTAGTTGAAAGTGAGAGTTTAGAGATGGGTGGAGGGAGAGGTGTAGATAGGTAGAAGTAGAAGAGTAGATAGAAGTAGAAGAGTAGATAGTAGAAGTAGCAGCGTAGATAGTAGAAGACGAAATGCTGCCACCATCCATTCATGATCATTACATACAAGACAAGGAATGGAACTTGCCTGTATCACAAAATATTCTCAAAAGATGTTATTACCATGAGTTCATTATTAGTATGTTCCCTCTGTACCATGTATCAACTCCAAACATGTACTCGTTCATATCATGAACCCAGTAACCACAGAGGCTTTCTCAAATCCTCAACTCAAAGCTCTAGGGAACAAAGTTAAACACAATTTAAATAATAAATTCATAATTATATTTCACATGAAGTATCATAATTTAGCAATTCAATTAAAATGTTCCAGTTTAATATGCAAAGTGAGTCATCATCCAAGAATTCGAGAACCCTACAACTTGACTGCCCCTGATCATCACACAACATATGTAAACACGACCAAGTCACCTTACTGTTCACTCACCGAGGACTGAGTCTAAGTTGAATAGAGAGGGGGGGGGGGGTCTGCAATTTTCAGGCAGCGTCACCCCCCGTCTGGTGACGGCCTATCTCGACGGCTGGCCTCTGCTCTGCCCCGCTGGCCGGTCTCCTATTGCTTTATGCTCGATAGCTCTCCGAGTTTATATTGGGGAACCTAGTAGCTAACTCCGCCCACAAGTAGACAGCCTCCGGCACTACCAAGCCACTCCTTAAACGTCGGCATGTTTGAAGGCTACCCGGCTCCAATTATACGCTTAGCGGAAGCAAGGTGAAATTCTCATGATCTGACCTCAGGTCACTTGGGGTCGTTAACGGTTAGAGGTGTGAGATCTCAGGCAGACAACTGGCGCCTCTCCGATCCTTGTCTGTGACTCATGTACTCTATGTATGTATTAACCTAAACCAAACACATTTTGTTTTGTAATTTGTTTAATTTCATTTTTCTATCAAAGTAAAGTATTTTTAAATGATTTTTCCCTCTGCTTTATCCTACAGTTTACCTCATTGTGAAGACAATTTGCAGTTTAAGTTTTTTTTTACTTTTTTTTACTTTTTTTTATTGTTTTATGTGATTGGCATTCCATCTGCCTAGAGACTGCAATACCACCTACTTTTCTTGTCACATATGAGACAGGTATTTGAACATTCTTGCAAAGCTACTAACACGCATAGCGTTTCAGGCAGTATCCTAATGGAATATTTAATATTACATTGCCAATATGAACCTAGATTTATGAAGCTCCATGTATTTCTTCATCAGTAGGTTTGCTACGAAGGTTCCTAAGTGCCGGCTAAGTTATTTATTTAAATAACTGCATCAATATTTTTACAGCTTTGATATCCCCAGAGTCAAACTTAATCTGTGTAAACACTATGCAAATAAAGGGACGTAGTCTATGGAACTCACTCCCTAAAGAGTTGAAAAGCTGTCCAACATTTGGCTCATTCAATAAGAAAACCAAATGGTACCTAATTTCATCTTCATAGTTTTCATACCTTGTGCTTTTTTCAAAATTCTATATTTGCCTCATTTTTATTCCTATATTTGACTATATTTATTCTATATTTGCCTCATTGAAAAAAAACAAAACGCAAAAAGTGCCTAATTTCATGTTTATAGTTCCCTACCTTGTGCCTTAAAATTGCACTGTATCTAGTGCTACCCAATCCCCCAATTTTTATGTACCTAATCCAAGCAACTTTACTATTGTGATCATTGCTGTCTTCTTATATGTGCTATCAAAATGCTGTATTGTGCCTATTAATTTTGGTTAAATTACAAATCAAGCTGTCAATGCAATCAATTAGAGCTACTGATGTGCTTTAATATGCAAACTAATCTCTCTCATCTCATTTTTTCTTGCAATGTACCTGTTAACATTTTATAAATTTTGCTAGAATTTACCTACTTAAAATTATCTGTTAGGTTAAGGACCTGCCTGAAACGCTGCGCGTACTAGTGGCTTTACAAGAATGTAAATACCATGCTATGTATCCTCACAAACCCAATGTACCTTCTTTTACATATATATATATATATATATATATATATATATATATATATATATATATATATATATATATATATATAAATAAATAAATTATATATATATATATATATATATATAAATAAATAAATAAATAAATTACTTATTGTTACACAGCCAAATTGTGTAACAGGAAGAGGTCTTGGACCCCTACTTCCCTCTCTCTTTTTTTAACAGGTCAAAATAGTCCATACAGTCATAATTATAGGTTTAAGTATTCAATGAGAGAAGTTTTTAAAGTTTTTACCCTTCTTACCTAACATCATTTGTGCAGTGGAGCATTTGGTGATAGTAAATGTTCCCACCAGCCACCTTCTCTCATATTTCATGTTCACCAGTGTTTATTTACTCAATAACTACTGGTATAATATCTTGCTATTATAAAAACTAATTCTACTATTATAAAAGACATAATTACTACAAGTACCAAGCAGAGAATGCATATATAACTAACACGAAGGACTCCTCTTCACCAGATTCGTCAACTAATAATCTTTTGTTTATATAAAATCGATGCTCGTGTTGTGTAGTAGAGAAAAATTGAGTTTTTTTTATACATACCGCTCGCTAATGGTATGTACAGTAGTCAGAAATGCATCCCCCCCCCCACGGCCATTTAGAATGGGCCAGTACTCAGAAATGCCATGACCCATGGCGGGACCATGGGTCGGGGCACTAGGAGGAGTAATGGTTATTTCCAGTTTATGTAAAGCTACGAGTGGTCGACAGCACTCTTAGCTGACGGACCAAACTTGCGAAGGTTTTCCTTCTTAGCGCCTACCTGAATACCGGCGTGGCCGCCACCAAGGCGCTAAGAAGGAATAACATTCGTAAGTACCTTCGTGAATCTGGCCCATGGAATTTAATATCAGATGGAATACTGTATAAAATGATTTGTAAAGGGTTCAGTGTTTAGCCTGTGTGTGTGTGTAAGCTTGTATGTGTATCTTTTCGTTTAACATTATCTTGTACATGACCACAAAAATGCCTACTGTGTGAGGAGTGGTTGCTCACAGCTGTCTGTGTCAACGTGTGGAGACTCCAGATTGCATGTGTGAACTGGGCACAGAATTACTTCCTGGATGATCCAAATGTGTGAACTGGGCACAGAATTACTTCCTGGATGATCCAAATGTGTGAACTGGGCACAGAATTACTTCCTGGATGATCCAAATGTGTGAACTGGGCACAGAATTACTTCCTGGATGATCCAAATGTGTGAACTGGGCACAGAATTACTTCCTGGATGATCCAAATGTGTGAACTGGGCACAGAATTACTTCCTGGATGATCCAAATGGGATTCTATCCCATTTGGCCTGTTTTAGTCGTTTGAAAAAGTTGGTCGAGGATGAGAGTTTATTTATTTATTTATTTATATACAAGAAGGTACATTGAGTTTGTGAGAATACATAGCATAGTATTTATAATCTTGTAAAGCCACTAGTACGCGCAGCGTTTCGGGCAGACCTAATCTAACAGATAATTTTAAGTAAGTAAATTCTGGCAGAATTAATAAAATGATAACAGATACATTGCAATGAAAAAAATGCGTTGGCAAGATTGTCCCACTGGCCGGCTCCGTCCGCAAATTTGTGACCATAAATCCCAATAGTATTTCATTCAGTAATTCACCGGTAGCACTGGTCGAGGATAAGAATGCTGGCAATGCAAACTGAATTGAAATTGAAATTGAAATTGAAATAAGTTTATTGAGGTAAAATACACACAAAGGGATGAGGTAGCTCAAGCTATTCTCACCCCGTTCAGTACATCGTGTTAATATATACATATACACACATCACAAATAAACATATTACCAAACATTCTGA